TTTTTTTTTGTTTTAGCTATTAACTGCCACTAGTAAATCATCTATGTAGCCTATTCTGCTTTATGATATTTTCTAATGCATCTGTTCAGAAACGTTATGACTCATCCCTGGAACAGGTGGGATTTGAACCTGGGCCTCTTAATTCAGTGATAGGGACATTACCACTGAGCCACAAGAGGCACTCCTGGTCCTGCTTGTTTTTCTGTTTTCTTTTTTTCTTACATATCTAGAAGTGCTAACACACAACTGAACAGTGGTTTTCCTGCCACCAAATCACTATGACTTTTTTTTAACTACTAACTGCCATCAGTAAATCACCTGTGTAGCAAATTGAATATTTACATGCCACACCCGTTACAGGAAATGCAAACACCAAAAATGAGGGATGGACAAGGAGAGTGGAATGGGGCCACATCAAATTGGAGTTGGAAGGTGTAATAAAGTACTGTATTCCCTCTGGTGCCCACCTCTCTCTAACCACATTGTAAGCATGGTGGACACTCTTTGCTCCCTCTCCAAGGACACCCGGCCATGAACATAACTGCGGAAGAGGGGCAGACTGGGTCTGTTTTACTTTATTTCCATATTCAGAAGTGCTCTTATACACAACTAAATATTTTATTTCTTCCCATCACCAAATCAGTGTCCTGGGTCTGTTTTTTTTATTTTTGGTTAGTTCCTTGACCACCATGGGGAGGTATTTTCTAATTCATGTAATTGAAGTCTTTTCAATAAATTGGTTGTAAATTAGTTTGTTGGTTAGTGTGCCAATTTTATGTGGGAAAGCCATCTGCCTCAGCACCTTATTATTTACTGCATTCACCATTGTGCTAGCATCTCTGATACAATTTGTACTGGGTCTGCTTTTTTTTTTAAACAGCTGGAAGTTGAGTCTGCTTTATTATTTTCTAATCAGTCTGTTCAGAGATGCTACCACACACCTCTGGAGCACATGGGATTTAAACTTGGCCTCCTGATCCAGAGATAGAGACATTACCACTGTGCCACAAGAGACCTGTGGGTCTGCTTTATGAACTTTTATGCTTTCTGTTTTTTTTCATAATTTTCTAATCACGCTGTTCAGAGTTGCTATCACATACTTCTGGAGCAGGTGCTGGGTCGGGTTTACGTATTTCCAAAACAGGTGGGACCTGAACCCAGGCTTCCTAGCTCAGAGGTAGGAACACTATTAGTATACCACAAGATCCCCTCTGGGTCTGCTTTGTTTTAAAAGCAGCAATCACCAGTAAGCCAACTTTCTATTGAATGCAAATTTCACCACCTGCCATAGTGGATTTGAGCCTTTGCCGCCAGAACATTGGCCTGGGGTTCTGGATTACTAGTCTACCGATATTAGCACTTCACCACCACCATGAATGGATGGGTCTGCTTTATATTGTATCATCAACTCATTCAAGCATGTTATTAGACACCTCCAGCAGATGGGACTTGAACCCTGGCCTCAACAGCCCAGAGGTGGGGACAATACCATATACCACAAGAGTCCCATGGGTCTGCTTTATTTAAGTTTTCTTTATCTGGAAGTGCTCTTACACAAAACTAAATGGCTTTCCCACTGCCAAATCACTGAGACTTTTTTTGGTTTAAACTTTATCACCACCAGTAAATCAGAAATGTTATTACATACAACCGAGTGACCTTCCCAACACCAAAATCACTTTTTTTGTGTGTGGTTTTAAACTACTAATCTCCACCAGTAAAAACACCTGTGCAGCTAATTCAGAGATAGTAGGAACTGCCGATGCTGAGATAACAAGATGTGGAGCTGGATGAACACAGCAGGCCAAGCAGCGTCAGAGGAGCAGGAAAGCTGACGTTTTGGGTCTGGACCCTTCTTCAGAAATGGGGGAGGGGAAGGGGATTCTGAAATAAATAGGGAGACAGGGGGAGGCGGATGGAAGATGGATAAAGGAGCAGATAGGGGGAGAGGAGACAGACAGGTCAAAGAGGCGGGGATGGAGCCAGTAAAGGTGAGTGTAGATGGGGAGTTAGGGTGGGGGTTGGTCAGTCCAGGGAAGATAGACGTCAAGGGGGCGGGCATGTGGTTGGTTGGTAGGACATGGGGGTGGGAGAAGTGGATAGGTGGGAGAAAGGATGGACAGGTTAGGGAAGTGGGGACGAGCTGGGCTGGTTTTGGGATGCGGTCGGGAGATTGTGAACTCCAGACCCGAAACGTCAGCTTTCCTGCTCCTCTGATGCTGCTTGGCCTGCTGTGTTCATCCAGCTGTACACCTCGTTATCTCAGATTCTCCAGCATCGGCAGTTCCTACTATCTCTGAATCGATTTTAACCCCACTGTGAAGCCTCTTCTAAGGCTACCTACCTTGAAGAAGTTACCCTCCTCCCTCCGAAACGACCTCAGTGGATCTGTCTCCCACTGCAACCCTCTTGTAATCTCTTTGGCCCTGAAACTGCTCAACCACGTCCTGAAGCAAACCAGGTACTACAGCCACATTGCCTTTACTCCCATGTCCGCTCCACACTTCCCACCACCCCTGGCACTTTTCCCTGCAACTGCAGGAAGTGCTACACCTCCCCCCTCACCCCCATCCTAGGCCCCAAGAAAACCTTCCACATTAAACAGATGTTCACCTGCACATCTGCTAATGTGGTATCCTGTATCCGCTGTGGCCACCTCTACATTGGGGAAACCAAGCGGAGGCTTGGAGATCGCTTTGTGGAACACCTACGCTCGGTTCACGACAAACAACTGCACCTCCCAGTCGCGAACCACTTCAACTCCCCCTCCCACTCCCTGGATGACCTGTCCATCCTGGGCCTCCTCCAGTGCCACAACGATGCCACCCGAAGGTTGCAGGAACAACACCTCATATTTCGCTTGGGAACCCTGCAGCCCAATGGTCTCAATGTGGATTTCACAAGCTTCAAAATCTCCCCTTCCCTGACCGCATCCCAAAATCAGCCAAGCTCGTCCCCGCCTCCCTAACCTGTCCGTCCTTTCTCCCACCTATCCACTCCTCCCACCTCAAGTCCCACCACCACCTCTTACCTACCAACCAAAAAGTATGTACAAATTGTACTTAAGAATCTGTAGGTAAAGAAATTATGTAATTTTTGCTGACTACACTTTTTTTCACACAGGAGTACCATTAGCCAACTTGATGTGTTCAAAACCTTAACCTAATTTATTTTACTGATCTTCTGAAATCCACTTATTTTGACTAATAGCTTGCTGCCTGGAATCCTCCCCACATTTCCTGATCAAGTTTTAGAACCAAATCTGGAACTATGTAAAACACCTCATGTAGTATGTATTATTTGCATGTTACTGATCTATATATTACCATTTCTTGAGCCTTCCTCTGCTTGCAAACTTGCAGAATTGAAAATCACCTCTTACTCTTCAAGCTTTGTGTTTCCTAATAGAATTCTGTTAAGTGAAGATTTTCCACTTCTCATTCTATATTGTACTTTCCTTGTGCAGAAGATCTCATACTCAAAACTAAGTCTTGTTATGTACTTCAGAACAATGTAAAAACCATAAATTTGATTGCTTAGTCATGGATTATTTGTAATGCTAATATTCTTACCCCAGAATTAGTTAATATATATATATATATATATATATATATATATTTAAAAACCCATAGAAGGGCACCCTCTGCTGTCCTTGTATGAAAAACACATCCAGAATCACATTTTGGGAGAAAGTGGTGTGCTTCAGGCGTAAAATAGGTGCAATGCCAAACTTAACGCGAGTTCTGAATCTAAAGTGTGGGCTGCACAAGTGTAATGTCGTTTTTAGCTATCTTAAGTAATTACCCAAACCAGATGTTAGGTAATTTTATTGGAGGTAATGAGCATCTGTTGGCAAGGCCAGGTATGTGTTGCTAATCTCTAACTACCTTTAACAAGCAGTGGTTAGCCAGCTTTCTCAACAATTGCAGCCCATATGGTTCAGGTGCACTTAGTGTGGTTAGGTAGAGATCCAGGTCTTTGGCCAAGTAAAAGTGACAAATTAATGATCTTGGTCCAAATTAAAACGTGTGTGGCTTGGAGGGATTCTTGCAATCAGTGATGTACATGTGTCATTTGCCCATAGTCTTCCAGTGATAGAGGTCACAATTTTGAAAGGTGCTGTCAACAGGAACCTTTGAGAGTTGCTCCAGGGCACCTTGCAAACGACATATATTGCACTCAGCACTGGTGGAGTGAAAGTTTGACATGTGCCAATCAGGTGGGCTTCTTTGTCTTGAATCTTATTGGGCCTCTTGAGTGTTATCAGACCTGTGCTCATTCAGGCACATGCAAAGTATTTCATTACAATCCTGAACAGTGCCTTCCGTTTGGTGGACAGGTTTTGTGGAGTCAGAAGTTGAGCTTCATGGCAGAAACCCCAACCTCTAATATGCTGTTGAAAATGCAATACTCATATGCTGGTTCAGTTAAATTTCTAGTCAATGTTCGCCCAAGACAGTGGGGGAAGCTAACAAAGGTGAGGCTGTTGAATGCCAAGGGAGATGGTTAGGTTTGCTCATTAGAAATGGTCATTGCCTGGTTTAAACAAACAGGTGAAGTTGCTATGTCCTACTGACATAGGGCTGCTCTTTCATTAGTGAGAGATGACTAGAGTTGGTTAAACCTGAGGGCAACCACACCTCAAGGCCAGAGGGTGACATGGAGAGTCTTCATGTTAACTTCATCCAGTACTGGAATTGAACCTATGCTGTTGGCATCATAAACCAGACATCCAGCCACTTAATCTGCCCTTTTTCAGTTCTGAAGACATTTGATTCAAAATATCTTTAAGAGAGAGTTATCTGTAGATTTCCTTGTGTCTGATCTAATGTTATGAATCTTCACTGTCTCTAGCCACAATGTTGGGAAAATGTACAAGATGCCTGTTGGCCATGATACTGACAGCTTGTGCAAACAGTGGGGCCTGAGAAATCCCATTGCACTGTTGACATGGAACTGCTTTTTGGCACAAAAATAAGCAATAATCAACTTTCACAACCAGTGGTTTTCCACAATTTATGTATGTTGTTTACAACGTAGAGCATGCAATGGGACTGCATTATGACTATTCATTCATTTTCAGCTTGGATCAATAATACTCTTTCCTCCAAATTAAGAAACTGTGCCTTGCATCACAATGCACTTCAATTCCATAAATCTAAGCTCAGTTTACTATAAAACAGTAGTACAATGTCCAGTACTATTGTTTGGGTGAGATGGCCCAGCCTGCCTGTAAAAGTATTAAATGTTATTGAGAGAAAAGCAGAGGGATTTCGCTTAGACCGCTGTAGTTACTTTATGAACATTTAACAAACAGCATTGATGGGGAGGACGTATGGAATTTGTAACATTGCTTGGTGATTGGGAAGAAGGAATCTACAATTGGGATAATGTTCTCTGATTAACTGATGGATAACCATTCACCTCCTGGTATCTTCGGTTTCTCTTATTTGCTTTAGACTTTACAGAAACAAACAAAGAGTAATATATCAAATTTGCAAATTACACTAAGATGTATAAGAACAACAATTACATTAGCCTTCTCTGGGCCGTGTTGTGATATGGCATGTAACTTTAAGAGTCAGTATGGTATCATGCCATGTGATGTTCTTGTATGGAGGTATCAGCTGCTGCTATACTTCATAATCCAACAAGACTAGTCAACCAGTTTGAGCCCAGACTATGTCAATATCTGTGATAGAACTGTAGTGTATTTCGTTGCTCTGTGAATAAATTCTATTACATTTGTTCTGTCTGAACCCAGCTTTATATTTTGAATTAAACAAAAACACTGAAGAACACATCAGGTTCTAAGATTCATATTCAACCCTACTGGTCTAAACTGGCATTTATCCTCCACTCCAGTTCGTTTCTTTTCAACACATCTTTCTAGTACATTTTTGTCATTTAAGACAATATATTCTAATCAATGCACTAGCAATATTTCAAATTCTTAGCAATCTATGGGTTAAAAGAATTCTCCTGAACTCCCATTTGGATTTATCAGTGACTATCATATAACACCTGTGTTTGACTTTCTACAGAAAAGAAAAATAATCTTTATATTTGTCTTGCCATAGACTAAAATGATCAAGTAAGTGTCTGTGACAGATGAAGTTCACTGTCTAGCAAAGACGTCATCCACCTTGCTCTTCCACAATCCCTAGTCCTTCATACTTCATAATATTTTATCTCTGTGCAGAGTGTTCAGATCCAGGTAAACAAATCACTAAAACATGGGAAACTACAGAATAACATTAAAATCTCAAATCATAGGTGTAGTCAGGAAGAACAGGAAATTCTGTCTACAAAATAACTAACTGAAGTTAAAGCTGAGACATTTTTATGATGTAAAGATATGGAATGAACATTTAAATGGACTTGAGCTGTACTCAAGTGGCATGTAGGGTTTAAAAGGCTGAATGGCCCACTTCTGCTTCTATGTATTGGCTAATATTTCTCCTTCAATAAACACTACTAAAAAACATTGAATTGCTCCTGGTGGTATGGTCTTTTCTTGCTGAGTGTGATATTTAAAAAAGATGGCAGTCCATCTCTGGTTTCTCTTGAGGTGGTGATGAGAACCTTCCTGAACTGTTATATTCTATGTAGTGTAAGTATGCCTGAAGGAGTTCCAACATCTTGAGCCAGCAACATTGAAGATACACTAGATGGTCAACAGTAGATTGTGCAACTTGGAGGGGAACCTGCACGTTTGTCTATTGCCTCAGTTCTTCTCAGTAGTGTTCAAAATTAGTTGTAGGAGCCTTGGCAAGTTGCTGTGATGCATATCGTGTAGTACACACAGTGTCATTGTTTGCTGGTGGTGGATGGGTGCCAAAAAACAGGCTGCTTTATCCTAGGTGGTGTTGAGCATCTGGAGAGGTGTTGGAGTTACATTCATCCAGCAAGTGCAGTGTATTCCATTACTCTCCTGCTTTGTAGATGCTGGATAAGCTTTCATAAGTCAAGTGAAGTACTTCCCACAGAACTCCCAGTCTGTGGTCTGTTGTAGAAAGCATTTATGATGGCTGATTTAATTAGATGCCCATGGTCAATAGTAACTCCCTGGCAGTTGATAATGGGTAATTCAGTGATCATAATGCCAGTGAATACAATAAGGAATTTAGTCATTACTGCTGAAGATGGTCAATATCTGGCACTTATATGCCAGTTACTTGCCACTTAGTAGCCAAAATCTGAATGTTGATATGGTCTGAGCAATTACAAACATTGCTGTGCTGTGCTATCATGGAGGAACATTCCACTGCTGACTTTATCATGGAGGGAAGGTCATTGATGACGCAGCTGATGACTGCTGCAGGACCTCTTTGATGACACAGGAACAATCATTTTCTATAGCAATAAATGAACTCCAAATAAAGAACATGTATATTTTCATATGATGCAATCGCTATAACAGGCTTTGAAATTTACAAACCATTTTTATGGTTTATCTCAAACCTGCAATGAAATCGAAGTTACATCCAACTGCAATGATTTCAAATTCTTGCTTAAAATGGAATCAAAAACTGAATGACAAGTGTTAAACATTCAATTTCAAATATGATCCTACTATTGGGGGGGAGGGGGGGGCAGTCTCTGATTTACAAACGCTCTTATGTGATCCCAAACAGGCGTGTAATTTTAAAGATCTGACATACAAACTGCTATTTTATATTGTCCTGCATTGTGCTCAGACTTGCATACATCCCTTCCTAACAGTGCTATATTACATGGACAGTAGTGGTTTATGATGGCAGCTCACCACTACTTTCAAGGGCCATTTGGGATGGGCAAAAATAATGGTCTCGACCGAGCTGCACAGATTCTGAGAATGAGTTAAAAGCAAGTTTACTATCTTAAAACATAAAAATACACCCTGTCTACAGAGTAAAACGTCACAATACATATGCACTCACATTTGAGTGACTGTAGTCTTGGAGGTCTTTTTTGGTTGCATGTCTGATTTTGTTTCTGTGTGGCAAAAAACATGCCATAATTGCATGATTTCTTATTATCTGTAGTGAAATGCAAATGCTTTTTGGGGTGGAATTATTACGAGATAACTGGGAGCAACAGTTAATTCAGCAGGTGACAGTTACAAGTATATGGAGAGCCAAGTCCACATAAGTATTATACATTAATTTAAACACGTATTCCTTAAATTTCTTAAAGACATGGTGTGAGGACTTGGTATGGGATGTAATATAGCTACTAACGTCAGCCAGGACAATTCTGGTGTGTTTTAGGTTTGACTATGAGATGGCAAGAATGAAAATACTGGTTATGAATGGTGGAAGTGGGCAATCTTTGTAATAAAGAGGATATAGAGACAGAAGTATTTTCTTGAGCAATCATTTTCAGCCCAAGGTGGGTAGAGGTGTTTAGCAAGACTCCAGCTTTAGCACTGGGTAATAATCCAAAGGTTGACAGTAGCAGGTTGAAAGAATTCACAAAAAGCCACTAAAAATACAGATACAATTCACAGACTTTTTTTTAAAAAGTTCACGTATGTGAAGTGAGTGCTGATTTCTGGATCAGCATTTATTGTTCATCTTACTTACTTGCTCTTAAGGTGGCGAACTGCCTTCTTGAATCACTGCAGTTGACTTGGGGTAGGTAGATTCGCAGAACCTTTATGGAAGGAGTTCCGAAATATTTACTGATTGAAACTTTACAAATCAGTGAGGAAAATCAAGAGAAGCAGGGTGGCTCAGTGGTTAGCACTGCTACCTCACAGTGCCAGGGACCCAGATTCGATTTTAACTTCAGGTGACTGTCTGTTCAGAGTTTGCACATTCTCCTTGTGTCTGCATGGGTTTCCACCAGTTTCCTCCCACAGTCCAAAGATGTGCAGGTTAGATGGACTGGCCATGCTAAATTACCTATACTGTCCAGGGATATGTAGGTTACGTGAAATTAGCCATGGGAAATGCAGGATTACAGGGATAGTGTACCGGGGCGGGGTTCTGGGTGGGATGTTCTTCCGAGAGTTGATGTGGACTTGTTGGGTAACCTGTTTTCACACTGTAGGGATTCTATGTAGTGATGAAGGGAGGCAAAAATGAAGAGATGCAAGAGACTACTGAGACAAATTGCATAATATAAGCCAAAATGTAGAATAATGAGAAAGAGAAAAGAAACAAAAGGATGAAAATGATGGCAACATAAACTTTATCGATGTAATTTACCAGCAAGGAGCTGCAAAAAAACTATAGAGATATTTGGTCTAATAGAGATTTGACACTGAGACAGTGTTCTACCACTTCTCATAAAAACCATTTGTGGGTATTTTGTGCAATAAGTGATGAGATCAAGGGAACAAATAAAAATGAATGAGTCAATTGCAAGCTAATATAACAAACCAGTAAATATGAACAGCATGTTGCAGAAACAACAAAATAATTTTAACTATGCACCTCAGAGCAGCATCCTAAGGTTGCTGGGTTCATCTATACTCGAAAGCTAATCATTTTTTGTTCCTCCGCCACCTGCAAAATAATCACTGTACATCATTTAAGCATACTTTAAAAAAAATATATGTATTACGAGACAAAATCCTAACAGTCTATATTTATAATTTGTAAAAAAAAATGCAATTTACTGTGATTTATTAACATGGATTAAAATGCCCAACCAGTGCTGCAGTGTGACTGTATCTTAAAAAAATTAAAATTGTTATACTAAGCTCACAGAGAACATACACATATTTGCAAAGGGACTTGAATGTACAACAGTATTCAAAAATGGGAGAGAAGCATTGGCAGGTTTTACAAGCATGGAAAAAGTAAATGCACAATTATTTACATAACATCTGCCAGAAGAAATTAGAAATAATCTATACATTAAATTACTTTTCTACAAATAACCAATCAAGTAAAAGAACTATGTTTCACACCGCAACTGCTTCAAAACCTATATTGCATTGTTCTGCTATTGTTTATAGTATACAAAGGAAAATAAAATGTTTGCTACAGAAAGGGAATTGAACAGAAAGAGCAAAAGTAAATTGCATGAGTGCCAACACTCCTTAGAAGTGCAGTTATGTTTAACATACTTGAATAAAAAAATTTATACAAAACATTCAATAAAGGCATTTTTAAATGCAACAATAAAATTACTAAATTACAATTTTGAGCCAACCTGTGCACTACAACGTCAGTTAGGATGGCTGGAATGTCTACTTACAAAATAAAATTTGAAAAATGTTTTTCTTCCCACTGGCTTCACAAACACATATATACAGCTCCAACAGGAGTAAAACGTTTCTTTTAAGAATCAAAAACAGTTGTGTGAAAGACAAGTAAAGATGAGCACTGGTGATAAGTTTATTACAATGTCTGACTTACAAGTCTTAAGTAGTATCTTTAAAAGATACATTACATAAAATATTTACATCTTATTTTACACAATAATGTTCAAAATGGGTCAGCACAGCCCCATTTTAATGCCATCCTGAGCTGTGAAAATTGTTTTGCTGGAAAGATGGTGGTAATTGTGGTCTGGGAACAGAAATTTGTGGGGGTAATACCGGCATCTGTTTAAGTCCCTGACCTGTATGTGGAAGAGGTACCACTTTGGGGGATGGTGGATGGAATCCTGGGCTTGCGAGTGATGCAATACTATTTGCTCCTTGAGACAGGTGGTGAGAGCCTTGTCTTGGCAGTGAATGATGAGATCCTGATCCTGCAGGTGGAAGCTGAGATCCCAGAGCAGCATGATGAGAGGGATGGTGACTCAAAGGCTGATGCTGATGGGCCCCTGAAGGAAGATGATGCGATCCTTGTCCTGGAGCAACATGATGTCCTGACCCAAGAACTGGAGCTGGTGGTGGTGGTGGTGGTGGTGGTGGAGGTGGTGGTGGTGGTGGCGGATGTGCTGAATTAAGTGCATTTTGATGTGATGTTGGAGTTCCAGAGGTTGAAAGAGATTGATTTCCTGTTGCAGAAGGTGGAGGGGGATGAACAGGTGCTGGCCCAGGTGGTGGCGGTGGTGGCGGATGATGTCCTGAAGTCTGAGCATGTAGTAGTGTCCCCTGGGTTGGCGGTATTGGATGAACCGGACTAGTTACATGTGACAATGGTGGTGGGTGTGGGCCCTGTCCTTGAGTTGGAGGGTGATGTGGGCCTGGAAGAGGCACGAGGTGCGGTCCTGATCCGGGTGACTGAGAAACTGGAGGTGGCGGTGGTGGTTGCGTTACAGATGCTGAGGAAGAGTGATGCAGGCCAGAACTCGGAGGTGTCAGATACTGCCCCGTCGAAGATGCATGATGTGCAGAGGCAGTTGCAGCTGTTAGTGACCCTGAAGTGTGCAATAAAGCAGAACTTGGAGACTTTGGGGGACCTTGGTGTATAATGGATCCAGGAGAAGGTTGAAGCAAACACGTTCCAGGCAAGTTCTGTGTTGGACTTGGTACAGGAGAGAATGTTCCCTGTTGGGGAACGTTTGTTCTTGGCTGATTGAAACTTTGAAAGTTCCCAGAAGGTTGCTGGTTTTGATAATAGGTAGGTGGCGGTGGTGGAGGTGGTGGTGGTGGTGGCGGTGGTGGGGGCACACTGCTGCTTGAATGTTGCTGGTTGAACTGATTCAAACTAGGCTGATGACCTGATGGTGCTGTCGATGAAGGATAAAAAGTTGCACTCGTCTGCTGCTGTTGTGCTAAACTCCCAGGCTGTGCTGTCTGATAGTACACTTGTCCCACAGTGACAGGGGTTAAAAAAGATCCTCTGTGTGATGCTGCCTGCACTGTTCCTACTTGAGGCGACTGTGAATGAATTGTCCTATACGGTGATCCCAGTTGCTGTGGCTGAGACTTTGGTGAATGTAAGTGCATTTGAGGCTGTGGTTGAGAACTTGATGGAAGATAGTTGGCCTGTCCAGATGTATGAGGAGCTGAAGATTTAAGCTGATGCTCAGTATGTTGAGAGAGCACAGGACACTGAGTATTCAATGGATGCTGAGTTGGTTGACAATTTGATGGTTTTACTAAACTCTGAGACTGTGATGGACACGGATGTTTTAAATAATGTGGATTTCCAGACTGGCCATTAACAGTAGTTTTTGATATTGGCTGGGAATCAAACTGAAAATGCAGTTTCTGCTGTGTCTCAGATTTAGTTTGACTTTGATTAGAAGTCTCAGTTGTATTGTTTGTAATTTCTAATTGGGGAGGATGAGACTGTAGCAAAGGTTGAGACTTCGCCTGCAACTTTACCTGGGACTGGGATGAAAATGCAGGAGATGGCGGAGAAGGCATTTGTGCTGGCTGTTAAAAGAAAAAAGCGTGAGCTTGAACAAATTATTTAAGCTGAACGTAGAAAAAATAAACTACATCATGTTTTTCAATATCCACGAACAATATCAAGTCATAACACAATAACTTGTGGAAAAAAACATTCTAGACTAAATTTCAGTACACATAATGCAATATGCTCTAAAGCAATCAATGGCAAATTACCTTGTTTAATTTTGATGGGCTTACATTATGCTTTTGTGAACTCACTGGAGATGGACACTCCTTTTCAGGAACTTGTTCTGCGTTTTCTGCATCTGAAATTTCTACAGAAGCAGGAAGAAAATTAATTAATGTATCATTAGAACACAGAGGCAGCATTAAAAATGGTACACTTAAATTTTGAAAATTTAAGATCAGCCATTTCCTCTTCAACATCTTGCAAGTAATAGAATAAATATACATTAAACACTAAAGCACTATAAAATACTATGTTCTTTCTCTCCAATGTAACTTATTAAATATTTATGACCAAAGTACATAATATCTTTTCCCAAGTTTTACTAACACTAATATATACAAAGATATGGTCAAATTAGCACTTCAACATTTTTTATTCTTTTGAAATGAAATTGAACATTGACTAAACATTGAGATCTATAAAATTGGGGCTTTTAGCACAACTTATTTTCAGTAACTTCTATGTACAAATGAGATTCTGGCAAAATGATCTGAGTAAACAGAATTTCTGAGTACTACAACATATCCTTCTGACTGTAAAATGTGGACGTTTTGAGAGTGATAACTAATGAATGTTTTGGCCAGTGCTTTTAAAGGAATACTCTACAATCAAAATATACAATACCAGAATATTCCTTAAAGAAATGTTTTTAATGATTTCAGGTAGAGCCAGATCTCTCCCATGGATCAGAATGACTTTTGCAAAATTTCTCAGTCTTGAATGAGTTAGATAGTTTGATTTGTGATACCTCCGGACTTGGTCATATATTTTCAATACTCCTCAGGAATATTAATAATTTTTTTTACTAGGATTCAAGATAAACCCACAAGATGATCTCTGGAGACTGCAAAGTTAAGACAGATATCCAAATGTTTTGATCATTTACCTTTAGAAGATGGGCAGAGGTTTCACAGTTCTCTTCTCGTGTTCAGACACCTCCTCAGGAGGTAAGACATAAACTGGGGAAGATGCATGATGTTTAACTTGTACATTGCTTGGTGGAATGAGCAAACTTAAAGGGCAAATAACTGTTTCATTCCATATCTTTTCTTTGCCTTTATAAGACCGTTATACATCCTTACTGTGGAGTATTCCTTTAAATTTATACCAGCAGAATTCCATAAACTATTAAACATTTGTCCTACAATATCCACACACCTAACAGCTGTATTGAAGCAAATGTAGTAATATAAATTTCTGAATACAAGAAAAAAATTACAAGCACAAGGTGCACATGTTTTATTGCAGATTATGTACATTTTGACACATACATTTCTTAACTTATAGGTACAAAGGTGTATAATTTTAAAAGGAATTTTACATTTCATGTATGGAACCAATTTACTTCTCAACTTGTGCTCATTTCAACAGTCAATGATTAGTGCAGATAATATCGAGGAAAAATAAGGGACTCCATTCCAGCATGACATTAGATAATATGGTTTCACAACAGTTACAGATCACAAAAAAATGGTGGAATGATTATTGGGATGTCTTCTCTACTGACCTAGGTTAGGTTCACTAGGAGAGTTAGCTGGGATCTTCAGCTGAAGGCGTGGAATGGTTTTTGAACAGTGGGATGAAGATGGAGTTTGGAGATGACACTGTGGCCAATGAGTTGATGTTGGGCTATGGGTGGGTGAAATCATTCCTACAGATGGAAGTCCCAATAACAAAGTATTAGAAATGATAGACTTGATTTTAATAAATAATGTGCAGAAAAAATGCCTTTCAAATTTGTTCCAAGTACATACCAAAGCTATCACTGACTATTACTTATCTTAATGTCCTTTCACTCCAAACAGACATGGTATCAAGAATACAGTAACACAATGGATACTAACGTAGATGGACCACATATATGGCTTATTTTGGATTGCACCAATAATCGGAAGCACGTAATATGTGTAATCAAGACACCAATCCTGATCAATCTGATGAGTTAATGCAAATAACATGTAATGTTGCAAGTGCTTTGTAAAAAGTTTTAGAAGTTGCTCATAAGTATCTAAAACATGCGACATAATAACACACTTTACAGACTTTGAAGTTTCAAAGGTAGCATTGAGAGCGCTCCATGGCAATTTTTAAAATTTGTTGAATTATTCATCCTCCCATGAAGGTCATATGCCTTCAATTTTCTGCATTTGTTTCTGCCTAGCTCAGCCACATGCTTCAGGAGAATGGCAGTAACAAGAAGGAAGACATTACACCTCTAAACCTCTGCTTCTGTACTTTCGTGCAGTCTCTAGAATGTGTACAACACACCATTTTTATTCAACTTACTCTAACATTTTGTGGAACATTCAATGCTCCACAACTGAGGTAAGGAACTGTGTACACTATGGTTATGTAGGAAGGGCCATTTTCTACTCATTAACACTATACAGGAAGCATATAAAATCTGAACAACCAAAAGCAAATTGCACTGAAGAATCAAAATGTGACATCGAATCAGTTCAATCATTGGCCTCAAACTTTGTCTGTTCTCAGCTGACTGATAATTCTACTAACCTATTACAAATTTGTAATCATACTATCAAATTAGCAGTGGGAAACTGTGTAACAGGAATAACGATATTTTTATTTTAATAGTTTATTATTTGATGGGTAAAATCACTTCCTTTGGAAGATATTATTTGACATACAGACATATACATATATATGTATTTTACACATACACACACTATGCACAAATTAAAAAGACATAATATAATACTTACCACCTTCTTTTTCTTTTCTATGATCACTCAAAAGTAAAGCTCTTTGATAGCTTCTTTCTCTTACTTTCTCTACTGAGGTTGAAGCAGTCCTTAAAATAGAAATATATAAATAAGATGTAGGAAGGTATCAAGGAATTCATATCACACAGCATTTCAAAGGAAAAGATTGATAAAACAATATTTAACACTTCAAACAAAAAAACAATAACTGCAATTTCCTTTGATGTGTTCCCTTCCATACTTTCGTGGATTTTTGTTTAACTCAATAAGGGAAACTAATTTGGAGTAACATTCTGAATGAAACACATTGCAATATAATCAATCGTTACAGCAGAGAATGCTTCAGAGATTTTGGTGCTTTCAATATTTTTGTTGATGCCATGTTCTTTCTCTCAATATTTTTCAAAGCTACTTCTTCCATCATTTCATCAAACTGACCTCACCACTGTCTCATATTTTGTACCCCTTGCTCGACTTCTAAAATCACACAAATAAGGACGCAAAACTGTGGGGTCAATGATGTGATGTTATACTCTGGGGACAACATCACAGACGATATTCACTCCCTCTATTAGCATATGCAGAGATTGGTAGCCTACACATGGTTTGCAACTTATTCCAAGTCAAGTGAGTGTTAAGCAAGGCTCAGTAGGCCCAGAATATTGGAGTTGGAAGGGCCAAAGTAGTGAACTTAGTGGTAAAGGGAAAAATATGTTATATCTTTATGTTTTCAGTTACTGCTGCCAGTGCCCTTGCTCCATGATGTAAACTTGCCATGTATTCTAATCCAGACATTCTCAGCATAGGTAGTTTCCACTTGGATGCTCTTCATTGGGGGCATAATGAAGACAAATTACTTTCAATACAAATCTAGTTTCTGGGAACTTCTATACTGGTTTAAAAAAAAAATCAAACCGGAACTGGGCCTGTTCACAAAACTAGCCATGGTCCCCAACTGAATTCATCATCACTGACGGTTTCTATTAATGGTACATGGTAGTAGGCATGCAGGAGGTTTTAAAAGTTAATATGCTAATTATTTTGGGTGTGAGGCACTGAAAAGGTTTTTTTTAGCTCATCAAGAAACTATCTAGTGTTCCTCAATGTATTTAGCAAATGGTTGTGAGATTTATTTTAGTAATTTAAAATCTGGTTAGTTAGACGTGGTGAATTGACACAGTGATTGAAAATGTTTACTTTTTTGGAATAACCCCATTTATAGCGATATATCCAAATGTGTCACAAAATGTCTTATGAAACAAATTTTTTAAAAAATTATATTTTCAAGTTGTGCCTAGTTGCACCGGTTAACGGCAGATTTCACATTTGCCAATATACAAATGAAATTCAATAGAAACCCAAAGCAGAAAAGCAATGATCAAAATGATTCATTGCAGATTGCCACTAGAGGCTGACTTATAAGTGTTGAATAAACTTGTACAAACTACTGACTACAGTACTTAAGCTCAAGTCATGTGTGCTCATTCTCATAAAGCACTGCTATCAGAAGACTGTATCAATAGAATGTTCAGCTGTCAATCCATAAAGTTCATTCTGATTATATTTCATTGCTTCAGCCTTCAGACATGCGTAGAAAAGGTTTCAGATTTTACTAAGAAATAGTCATCATTTCTTGAATGGCTTAAGGATTTGCACAATATTCCCAAACAACTTCCTTTGTTCTAGAATCACATAGATTATACAGCAACAAAAAGACATTTGGCTTAATTAGTCTGTATTGTTGGTTATACTCCACATGAGCTTTCTGCCACTTGATCCATCACATGTCAGTCTCTCAGCATATTTTTCTGTACCCTCTTCCTCTCATCTGCTCATCTAGTTGCCTTCCACTGCAGTCAAGTGATTTGTATTAAGTTTTACTGTGGTAGTTGAGTTCCACATTGTAACCACTCCAATGTAACAAACTGATTTACAAAACAATGTGCCCATGAGCTTCATAATAATAAGGTTGAATCAATGTGCTACTCAAAGATAAAGACTAAATGGGTCATGTCACATTGGAATTCAAGAGGTCAGTGCTGGAAAAGCTTTTGTTCATAATTTATATGGCTTAGAGGTTAGAATATAGTCTAACAGTCCTACATTTTCAATAAGATTAAAACAGTGTATAGTACCAATGATTTAAGAGGAGATGAATGGGCTTGTCAACAGGCAGAGAGGTAGCACAGGTCAGCAAGAAACTGCAAATTCATAAGAAAGAAGAACCTAAAAAACATGCATGAAATAAGGCAGAAGGAAAAGGATTTCCAGATTTTAATGGACAAATCATGAAAATCATTGATTCAGTGTTCATTAGAGTCAACAAAAGCAAATGAAAACTTGGAACATTTAGTTAAAAGCATAACAAATAAATCTAAGGCAGCAATGCTGAAACGGTAATAAAATAACATGGCAGATGCTGAAAATCCGAAGCATAAACAAAAATGCTGGAAAAACTCAGCAGACATAACAGTATCTGTGGAGGGAATATTGAGTTCAATATGATTTCTGAGTTGTACCTATCCTATTGTGTTCAAGTTTAGTCTTAATATTACAAAAGAACTTGCAGAACAATTGAGTGAATCTAGAGGAAGACAAACAGTCCAACTGATCTATGCCGACCATGTTCCCAAACTAAACTAGTCCCACTTGCCTGTGTTTGGCTCAATTCCCTCCAAACCTTTCCTATTCATGTACTTATCCAAATATCTTTTAAATATTGTAACTGTATCTGCATCCACTACTTCCTCTGGAAGTTCACTGCACACCTAAAGCACCCTATGTGTAAAAAAGTTGCCCCTAATGTCCTTTTTAATTCTTTCTCCTCTCACGTTAAAAATACTCTCCCTGGTTTTGAACTCCGCCCACCCAAGGGAAAAGACCCTTGCAATTCACCTTATCAATGCCCCTCATGGTTTTATAGACCTCTATAAGATCACCCCTCAACCTCCTACATTCCAGTGAAAGAAGTTCTAGCCTATCCACCCTGTTTTTGTAACTCAAACCCTCCATTCCCAGCAACATCCTGATACATCTTATCTAAACCCCCTCCAACTTGTATCACTCTGAGTCTGAGTCTGAGTCTGAGGACTAAATCATGCAGAAAGATGATTTTTCTTAGGATATGATTTATTGAAAGACAGAATAAAGGAAAGTTTTGGTAAAGATCTGAGATACCTGCCGTATAAGGAATCAGAACAAAAAAATACTAGGAAATTAAAAAGAAAAGTCCCAACCTACTTAACCTCCGATGCCAGTATATCCTTCCTTGAAATAAGAGGTCCAGAACTGTTCACAGTATTCCAGCTATGGTCTGACTAGTGCCTTGCGTAGTTTCAGCATAACCTCCCTACTTTTGTACTCCATTCCCTTTGAAGTAAAGGTCAACATTCCATTTGCTTTCCTTATTACCTACTGAACTTGGATGCTAACTTTTTGTGATTCATACACAAGGACTCTGAAATTTTGCTGCATAGCTTTCTGCATATGTCCACTTAAATAATATTCAGTTTCTCTATTCTTCCTGCCACACTGCAAGGTTCACATTTCCCAACATTATATTCCATTTTTGCCCACTCAGTTGACCCTTCTGTTAATCCCTCTGCAGACTGTGTTGTTACTTACCTTCCCATCTATTTTTGTGTTATCTGCAAATTTGGCTCTAGTACATTCAGTTTCTTCATCCAAGTCATTAAAATATTGTAAACTATACATGGACAGAGCGGTGGCACAATATGGGCATGATGGTGACGCAGTGATTGGAACAAAGAACAATACAGCACAGGGCCAGGCTCTTCGGCTCTCCAAGCCTGCGCCAACACATTTTGCCCTTCCATACTAAAACTGTCTTCCCTTACAGGATCTGTATCCCTCTATTCCATTCCTATTCATGTATTTGTTCGGGTGCTTCTTGAATGCTGTTATTGTGTCTGCTTCCACCACCACCTCTGGCAACACGTTTCAGGCACTCACCATCCTTTGTGTGAAAAACTTGCCTCACACATTTCTTTTAAACTTCTCCTCTCGTTCCTTAAACCTGTGCCTACTAGTAACTGACCCCTCCACCCTGGGAAGAAGTGTCATACTTTCCAGTCCATCCATGCCATTAACAATCTTATAAACTTCTTTCAGGTCGCCCTTCACGCTCCTGCGATCCAGTGAAAACAAAACCAGTCTATCCAACTTTTCTTCATAGCTAAAATCCCCCATATCAGGCAACATCATGGTAAGCCTTTTCTGTACCCTCTACAAAGCATCCACATCCTTCTGGCAGTGTGGTGACCAGAACTGTATTCAATATTCCAAGTGTGGCCTAAAGTTCTATACAGCTGCAGCATAACTTGTTAGCACTGCTGCCGCACAGCGGCAGGGATCCAAGTTTGATTGCAGCCTTGGCTGACTGTCTGTGTGGAGTTTGCACATTCTCTCTGTGCCTGCACGAGTTTCCTCCCACATTCCAAAGATGTGCAGGTTAGTTGAATTGGCAATACTAACAAAAGGATTTGGCCCATAGTGTGCAAGGATGTGTAGGTTAGGTTAAAAACCCCATGCAGGGTTATGGGGATGAGGTGGGGGTGTGGGTCTGGGTGGGATGCTCAGAGGGATGGTGCAGACTCTATGGGCCAAATTTTTCTGCGCTGTAGGGATTCACCGGTCCTAAATAACAGTGGCCTCAGCACTGATCTCTGTTGCACTCCAATAATAATTTTGCTATCTGAAAATGCCCTCCTTATCCCAACTCTATGTCTTCTTTTAGTTAGTTGATTAGTGTGGATACAGGATTGACTATCTTGAACATCATGGGCCTTCGTCTTTTTAAAAAGCCTGTGAGATAGGCTGGGACTTTTGTTTTTTAACTGGAGCGTAGGAATTCTTTTATTCATTCAAGGGATGAGGGCTTCGCTGGCCAGGCAGCATTTATTGCCCAGAGGGCAGTTTAGAGTCAACCGCATTGCTGTGGTCTGGAGTCACATGTTGGTCAGACCAGGTAAGGATGGCAGTTTCATTCCCTAAAGGGCATTAGTGAACCAGATGGGCTTTTCCAACAATCGACAATGAATCACAGTCATCATTAGATTCTTAATTCCAGATATTTATTGAATTCAAATTCCAGGATTATGGCAGGATTTGAACCTGGGTCCCCAGAACATTATCTAGGTCTCTGGATTAACAGTCCAGCGACAGTACCACTAGACCATTGCTTCCCCTAGGAAGTTAAGAGGCCACGTTATGGAAGTCTATAAAATAATGAGGGGTACAGATAGAGTTAATGGTAGTTGTCTTTTCCCTGGAATGAGGGACTTCAAGACTAAGGGGCACATTTTTAAGGTGAGAGGAGAAAGAATATAAAAAGACATGACAGGCAAATTTTTTGTTTCTACAGAGGATGATTCGCGTGTGAAATGAACTTCCCCAGGAAGTGGTGGATGTGGGTGCAATTACAATGTTTAAAAGACATTTAGTTAAGTACATGAATAGGAAAGGTTTAGCGGGATATGGGCCATGAGCAGGCAGTTGGGACTAGTTTAGTTTGGGATTATGTTCAGCAGGGACTGGTTGGACCAAAAGGTCTCTTTCCATGCTGTATGACTCGATGGTACTTTATCAAATGGCTTTTGAAAATCCAAATATATTACATCCACAGATTCCCCAAAAGAAAACCTATTAGTTTTCACTGTTTTCCATGGTAACCCACATCAAATGGACAGCTGCTTTTTGTGTGAACAGAGCAGATACGCGCGTGAGAGACAGAGCATGAGAGAGCAGGTGCACGCGCAAGAGATAGAGCGTGAGAGAAAGACACACACACAATGACCTTCTGGATGAGCTACTGCTATGGAAAACAGACAGTAAGAGTTTTCTGCATAAGAAGGAAAGGAATGGAACAGACGGTACTTTTGGCAATTTAAGGAATCACTGAGGTGAACCTCATTATTGGAAGTTGGATCTCAAAGACTCAGACAGAAGGGAACAAGGTTTTAAGTAACTGCTGGAGAGCTACAAGTAATGGACTTGTTCCTGCATCTGCCAGGAATTCCAGGCACCACAGAAGTGGCTGCATCTGCCAGAATAACCAGTTACCACAAAAGGGGCTGCAAGATCTTTCACAATTGCATGAGTTAACATGAAATCTTCTTAATTTTAGTTCTGAGTATTAGTCACCTGTTAAGTAATTTTTATTTATTTTAGATTGTTACAGTAGCAGCTTTTAAATGTGAACTGCTTTTCAGTTATTTCCAATGATTGCTTGGGAAATTTGTTTACATGTTATCGAGTTTATCAGTCTTTATAAGAATTCTAATATTAGTAAAAGGAAAGGATGATCAGCTCCAGGACTATGGTAAGGCAGGGAAGCTTAGACAAGCTAATGATCAACTGCACAAAATATGCCTATTACTAAGCCTTAAGGATGAAACACTAGAATTGTGAACGTACCTACTAGAGAAAGAGCAAAATTTGACCTACTCTCGGGAAATCAGTCAGGATAGGTGATGGCGGTGTCAGTAGAGGAGCACTTTTGGGCTAGTGATCATAATTCTACTAGTTTCAAAACAGTGATGGAAAAGGATAGACCAGATCTAAAAATTAAAGTTCTAAATTAGATGAAGATCAATTTTACACAGTATTAGGCCAGAACTTCCAAAAGTTGACTGGGGGACAATATTCACAGGTAAAGAGACAGCTGGGAAGTGGGAAGCCTTCAAAAATGAGATAACATGAGTCCAGAGACTACGTGTTCCTGTTAGGGTGAAGGGCAAGGCTAGTAGGTGTAGGGAATGCTGGATGACTAGAGAAATTGAGGCTTTGGTTCAGAAAAAGGAAGCATATGTCAGGTATAGTTAGCAGGGATTGAGTAAATCCCGAGAAGAATATAAAGGCAGCAGAAGCATACTCGAGAGGGAAATCAGGAGGGCAAAAGGGGACATGTAATAGCTTTGGCAAAGAGGGTTAAGGAGAATCCAATGGGATTCTACAAATACATAAACGACAAAAAGTGTAACTAGGGAGAGAATAGGGCCCCTGAAAGATCAGCAAGGCTGCTTAAGTGTGGAGCCGCAGGAGATGGGGGACATACTAAACGAGTGTTTTGCATCAGTGTTTACTGTGGAGAAGGATATGGAAGCTAGGGAATTTGGGGAAAGAAATAGCGACATCTTGAAAACTGTCTATTTAGCAGAGGTGGTGGTGCTAGACGTCTTAAAATGCATACAAATGGATAAATCCCCAGGACCTAATCAGGTGTATCCTAGAACTTTGTGGGAACCTAGGGAAATGATTGCTAGGCTCCTTGCTGAGATATTTGTATCATCGATAACCACAGGTGAGCTGCCAGAAGCCTGGTAGTTGGCTAATGTGGTGCCACTATTTAAGAAAGGTGATATGAAAAAGCCAGGGATACATAGACCAGTGAGCCTGACATCAGTGGTGGGCAAGTTGCTGGAGGAGATCCTGAGCGACAGGATTTACATGTATTTAGAAAGGCAAGGAATGGTTAGGGATAATCAACATGGCTTTGTCTATGGGAAATCATGTCTCACTAATTTAATCAAATTTTTTGAAGAAGTAACAAAGAGGATTGATGAAGGCAGAGCGCTGGACATGATCATATATGGACTCCAGTAAGGCATTCGACAAGGTTCCACATGGTAGACTGGTTAGCAAGGTTAGATCGTATGGAATATAGGGAGAACTAGCTATTTGGATACAGAACTGTAGCAGACATTGGGGAGTGGTGGAGGATTGCTTTTCAGACTGGAGGCCTGTGATCAGTGGTGTGCCACAAGGATCAGTGCTGATCCGCTGCTTTTTGTCATTTATATAAATGATTTGGATGTGAATAGAAGAGGTATGGTTAGTAAATCTGCAGGTGACACCAAAACTGGTGGTGTAGTGAACAGCAAAGAAGGTTAATTCAGAGTACAATGGGACCTTAGTCAGATAGGCAGGTGGTCCGAGGAGTGGCAAATGGCAGTTTAATTTAGATAAATGTGAGGTATTGCATTTTGGAAAGACAAATCAGGGCGGGACTTATACACTTAAATGGTAAGGTCCTGGGGACTGTTGCTGAACAAAGAGACCTTAGAGTGCAGGTTCATAGTTCCTTGAAAGCAGTCACAGATAGACAGGATAGTGAAGAAACCGTTTGGTATGCTAGCCTTTATTGGTCAGTGCACTGAGTACAGGAGTTGGGAGGCCATGTTGCGGCTGTACAGAAAGGAATACTGCATTCAATTCTGGTCTCCCTGATATAGGGAAGATATTGTGAAACTTGAAAGGGTTCAGAAAAGATTTACAGGAATGTTGCCAGGGTTGGAGGATTTCAGCAATAGGGAGAGGCTGATTAGGCTGAGGCTATTTTCCCTAGACCATCGGAGAATGAGAGGTGACCTTAGAGGTTTATAAAATCATGAGGGGCAGAGATAGGGTGAATAGGAAAGGTCTTTTCTCCAGGAAAAACTTGAGGGCATAGGTTTAAGGTGAGAGGGGAAAGATTTAAAAAGGGACCTAAGGGGCAACTTTTTCACACAGAGGGAGGTGCGTGTACATAATGAAATACCAAAGGAAGTGGTGGAAGCTGGTACAATTACAACATTTAAAAAGGCATCTGGATGGGGATATGAACATTTAGAGGAATGGGCCAAATGCTGGCAAATGGGACTAGATTAATTTAGGACATCTGGTTGGCATGGATGAGTTGGACCAAAAGTGTCTGTTTCCATGCTGTACAGCTCTATGGCTCTAATTAAAATAACACCAGTTTGAAAATTAAGGATATTGATCCATTTAATTTTTCCCCCTTGGATCCAACCTCATGTCTAGACTTTCTCTGTGGTTATGTGGAAGAATAGTCAAGTACTAATGCTGTCTACATCAAACTATTATTCAATACAAACTGACCAGCCATCCCTGCATCAGCCCCCTTTAGTTTTATTTACTCATAACACGCAAGACCAACATGTACTGCCCATTAATTTCCCTTGATGAGGTAGTGGCAAGTTGTATTCTTGAACTGCTGCAACCTTGTGATTTTGTTACATTCACAGGGCTGTCAGGAGAAAATTTCAGCATTTTGCACCAACAGCGTTAAAAGAACAGTGATAAAATCCCAAACTGGGTGATATGAAAATTGGAGGGCAACTTGCAGGTGGTGGCCTTTCCATGTACTGTCCTAATGGATAGGCTGTGAATCTGGAAGATGCTATCAAAGGAGAAGAGACAAGTTTCTGCAGTGCAACTTGTAGGTGGTAAATACTGCAGCCAGGGTGTACCTGTGTTGGATAGAGTGAATGCTAGATTGGCAAATGGGTTACCAATCAAGCAGGGGCTTTATCTTGAGCATTATCCATACAAATCTTTTCAGTGTGCATTCTGTAAAGTACTAAATTTCACTTACCTATCGCTTATTTGCTTGCCAACCTGTCATGGTTGCCTGCCTCAAAATTTATTCATTGAAAAGTCCTAGACCTCATTTAAACTACCACTCCCATATACTTCCACTGGTCCCCCCTAACAACACTACTGCCTTACTTCACCCTATCATCCTATATCTGTAACCTCACTTCACTCACTGTGGTTCTCAAAAATGTCAGATCATTTCCCTCTGCATTCTGCAACTGTTTTGTTAAGCTCTTGGGCCTTGTGAAAGATACTATGTAATTACTAGTTATTTTCACAAACAACTGGAAGAAACTATTGCAAGTTGGACTTGAAGTTACAACTGATGGGACTCAAACTTGCAAATAAAAATTCCAGCAATTATTTTTAAATTATTTTGTTTTTAAAAGGGTGTGCTTCAAGTTCAAAGCATTCTATGTGAAGAACATATTTGTACTTTATATATGGTTTTATTGCTCCTATGAACTTACCACTGAACATCTGCATCATCTAATTTTTTTTCTGTTGAAGGTGTCTGTTTGACTGGAGATTTGTTGCCACTTTCAATGAGACCAGCAGACTCCACCGTAGCAAGCAAACATGACGACTGACTAGTGATGCTTCCTCCTTGCTCTCCACTAGCAGTTATACTGCTGCTACTACTGCCATTGTCATTGTTACTGGCCCCACTAACACCAACAACACTATATAGCGATGTGGCAACTGGAGAGAAGCTCTCTGATTTGGAACCACTTTGTCTTGCTTCACGCTGCCTTTTACGATATTCCAATAAAGACACCTGCATTAAAAAAAATCAACCTATAAGTGCAATTCACGTCAGTTAATGAAAATTGCGCTATGTCAAAAATACAAATTAGGTTTCTTCCTTCAATTTGTGTCACAAATATGCACACCTTACCACAAATCTGCATGCTTGTTTTGTACTGAGCATATTGTATTAAGCAGCCTGAAAGCAATTCCGTTAATTTCGATTCTGGACACTTACTTTCTTCTTTTGAGGTGGATTTTGCGGAATACAGCTTCCCTCTGTCATACTGTCTCCATTAATCCCCTTGCCAAAGTTGATCATGCCGTCATCAGGGCAGTAATAACCAACTCCTTCTGGAAATGACAATCTGTTGTCCTCTTGAAGCATTTTTGACTCGCTTGTTCTGAAGCCACCTCCTACCTCCAACTGATGCGAAGGCGTCAGATCCCGAAGATTGGAATTCAAGGGTGAGAAATTTAAGCTGGGTCGTTCTGGGCTTTTCATCCATGAGGAGTAAACATTGCCCATTCCACTGTAAATTGGTTCTGATTGGCTGTTTGTATCAGTCCGATCATGGTGAATAGGGCAATCTAAATCTTTGTGCCGCGCATGCTGTTCACATGCCTCATGTCCTGTATGGAGTTCTGATACAGATTCAATGCCACTGATGCACTGGCTAATTTCGGGCCTGCTCCTTGGGCTAACATCTCCTATAGTCTTTGTATCATGCAGTCCCATTTCTGTTAGGCTGGAGCTCCTTAAAGAATTCAGTGCTAAGAGGGAGGATATCCTGTCGGATGTCTGCAAGCAAAAAAAAATTAAGATATTGATAATTTAATTTTGTGCTATCAAATTCAATCACTCTTCTATAAAGAGATTTCTCAATCAGGAAACTATATCACGAATCCAGGATAAAATATAATTAATTATGTCAGAAAAATGAATTTGGGAAAGGACAGAACAAGGCAAAACTGAAGATTAATCAGAATTGTGTAAAACAATTTTCTTTCCCTGACATATTATTCTGTACACAAGTTACAATGCTCCTGAACTGCAATGGTGCATGTGATTTTACACAATTTCAGCAAATTTAATTTCATGCTATTTCAAAGAAAGATTCAATTAACTTGCCTAGATTTAACATCAGATTGATTAATCAATTCATTTGCAAGTAGCTGCATTGCTGTGTTCTCTCCCTTTCATCATGTTCTACTCACCCAATGGAAGATGAAAGAAGGCTGGAGGGGGATAACCTTCTTGAAATACAGCCACTTTTCTCTCTTTCAAACATCAGATCAGAATTTTTCATCACAGTTGGGAAGGACAGTGGGATAGAAGAAAATCCACAAGAACATTTGCACACTACTTGTGAATACGAGCAAGTGCCAAAGGAAGCCCCTGATATGCTTTACTGGAGGGCAAGGCGATTATCTTAGAGCTATACAGATGATCAGGATACAGACTCAGAGGCCAGCCTACAAAGGCAAACTCCTTGACATGGATCTGCAGTTGTTAAATATATTGTCTATCTTGGACCTTTAATATATCTGAGACTACAGATGGACTGTGTCCCATGAACGCATTAAAATTATAACAGCTGAAACATGCATGCTAGTCTATTTGATAGACTATTTTGAGGTGTTCAGACATCAATAGTAGGTGGCATCTATGCAAATGACAGCCATAATATGGAACTTGTCTTGCAAACTGGAGTGTTAAAGTATATTAGCATTGAAATACATAGAACCTAAACCTGCACAGGACAAGAACGGGCCCACTGGCCCACAATCTTGTGCTTAACATGATGCCAAATGAAACTAATCCCTTCTGCCTGCCCTTGGTCCATATCCCTCCATTCCTTGGATATTAATGTTCAGGGTGCTGCAATTAACGCTATACTTTCCCTTAATATGTGATCTCCCAAAGTGCAGCACCTCACACTTACGTGGACTAAACTCCACCTGCCATTTCTCCACCCACATCTGCAACTGATCTATAACCCAGTGTATCCTTTGACAACCTTCTACGCTATCCACAACTCCACGATAACAGTAGCGGACCTGCACAACACCACTAGTCATAGGCCTCCAGCCTGAAAGCCAACATTCCACCACTACCTCTGCCTTCTATGGGCAAGCTATTTCTGAATCCACATGGCCAAGTCACGTGGATCTCATGCATCTTAATCTTCTGGATGAGCCTACTGTAAGGGCCCTTGTCCAAAGCCTTACCAAAATCCATGTAGTTAACATCCATTGCTCTACCCTCAATCGATCACCTTTGTCACCTCCTCGAAAAATTCAATCAAGTTAGTATGACATGACCTGTCCTGCACAAAGCCACGCTGACTATCCCTAATTAGGCCATACTTCTCCAAATGCGTGTAAATCTTATTCCTAAAAATTCTCTCCAATAGCTTCCCAACCACCAATGTAAGACTCACTGGTGTGTAGTTTCCTGCATTATCCCTATTTCCCATCTTGAATTGAGGAACAACATTAGTTACTTGCCAGTCTTCTGGGACTTCTCCAGTGGCTAATGAGGATACAAAGATCTTGGTCAAGGCCCCAGCAATCTCCTCTCTTGCCTTTCTGAATAACCTGGGGTAGATACCATCCGGGCCCTAGGGACTTATCCACCTTAATGCTCTTCAAGAGATCCAACACCACTTCCTTCTTGATCTCAAAATGCCCTAGCATTTTTGCATGTTCCAGAAAAATCTCACTATCCTTCATATCCTTTTCCTGGGTGAATACTGATGCAAAGTATTCATTTAGGATTTCACTCAGATCCTCTGCCTCCATGCACAAGTTCCCTCCTTTATATTTGAGTGGTCCTACCTTCTCCCTAGTTATCCTCTTGTTTTTAATGTATGTATAGAATGCCTTAGGATTCTCTTTAACCCTACTTATCAAGGTCATTTCCTGGTCCCTTCTTGCTCTCGTAATTCCACAACTGAGTTCTTTCCTACTTTCTTTATATCCCTCATGGGCCCTGTCTGATTTTAGCTTCCTAAACCTTACATGTGCTTCTTTTTTCCTTTTGACTAAATTCATAACCTCCCTCGTTATCCAAGCAACCCTTACCTTGCATCCTTGTCCTTCCTCCTTACTGGAACATGCCGGTTCTGAACTCTCACCAGGTCTTTAAACAATTCCCACATGTCAAATGTGGATTTGCCTGATAATAGCTCCTCCCAATTAACACTCCCTGTCTAATACTAACGTAATTTGCCCTCCCCCAATTTAGTAACTTGCCACAAGGCCCTGACTTATCCTTATTCACAGCTATCTTAAAATTTAAGGAGTTGTGATCACTGTTTCCAAAATGCTCTCCCACTGAGAGGTCAGTCACCTGGACAGGCTCATTAGCCAGTAGAAGGGAGAGTATGACCCCTCCTGTAGTTGGACTATCTACATACTGTTTCAAGAAACCCCCTTAGATGCACTTAACTAATACTGGGGAAATTAAAGTCACCCACTATGACAAGTCTGTTTTTATTGCATCTTTCCATAATCTGCCTACATATTTCTTCCTCAATGTCTTGGTGGCAGTTGGAGGACTATAGTATAATCCTTTCAGAGTGATTGCACCCATCTTATTATTGAGCTCTACCTATATTGCCTCAGTGAACAAGCCCTCCAGTATGTCCTCTGAGTGCAGATATAACACTCTCCCTGATTAATAATGCAACTCATCCACCTCTTTTACTTTCCCCTCTGACTCGACTAAAACAACAAAACCCTGGAAACGTTAGCAGCCAGTCCTGCCCCTCTCTCAACCAAGTCTCTGTAATAGTCACAACATCATAGTCCCATGTACTGATTCAGGTTCTAAGCTCATCCATCTTACCTTTAACACTCCTTGTATTGAAATAAACGCACTTCAGCCCATCAATCCCATTGTGTTGATTTACCTGTCTCAGCCTGTGCTTCCTGTCTGATTTACTGGTCCAAACATGTACCTTCCCCCTCAATCCTTCCACTTGCTGACCTGCTGCTCTGGTTCCCAGCCCCCTGCCAGTCTTGTTTAAACCCTCCTGAATTGCACTAACGAACCTCCCTGCGAGGGTATTGGTTCCCGTCCAATTTAGTGCAACCTGTCCCTCTCATACAGTTTGCTAAGGTGGTGTGAATGGTTAAAAAAAATGTTATTTTTCTGGAAGTACACATCTATGAGCTGCTGCTTAAAAACCTGACTACTTGCAGTGCAGGTCACACATTCAGTTTCTCCTGAATCCTCCCACAATGAGGAATCTTTCTCAGATGCTGCTGGTTCAATGTTTTGCCTCTCAAAACAGTTATGCAAACTTACAGAACCTTCAACAGTCACACTTAAAGAAGAATTTGACGTGAGAAAACTACATTAGCAATTTGGTACATGTCTGATATTGGGAAGAACCAGCAAAAAATTAAAAATCATTAATTAAAGAAACTTTACATCTTGTTGTGATGCAAAAGAAGAAAATTAAAATGGCAGTATCAACATAAGATTTGACTACAAGAAAATAAATGGCTGATAAAAACCAGATTAATGACTGCCACACAAGAATAGTAAATAAATCAGTTTGGAATTTAGACACATATATCATTTGTTGTGTATCATCCAATTAAAAATCATGTATAAAAAGTATATTTAACATTTCTCCATTATGGAATTTTACAGCCAAGGACAACTGGAGAGCACGCGAATGTAAACTAGAACAAGGACTTATAAATGAGTTGGGACGTGCATTTAAATGGCTCTCTCCTCGATGAAAATTCTTAAAGGAAATGTCCTCTAATGTATCTGGTTCAGACAGCAGCTAGCTCGTTTGCTCATAATGGATGATAAACCAAACAGAATTATTTTCAAAATAAACTGTAGGGACATCCATGGCTAGTTACTACACTTACACCAGTGGCTGTGATGGTGTTACAAATAATCCCGGTGCTTTGAATCTTTCTTGGAAGATGGAAGGGTTGGGGGTTTGGAAGTCTACTAAAGTTCCAACTGCATTGGTTAAAGTTCTGTAAGAATAACAGTAAATGAAGTTGTAATGCTTCACATAATTATAATTTAGATAGTATCATTAGCTTTCTTTAGTTAGTGGCAGTCATGACTGAATCAGAAGAGTATGCATGGATTTTAAAAAATGGCATCAGAAGATAAGAGCTCATCTGTCTACATTAGTGACTAGAGGGTGCTTCTTCAGATTTCTGGCTATTATTTCTTCCACCAATGAGAATAAAACAGATGAATTGATCATTGCTTTGGATGGAAACTTATGGGCTCAAAATAAATATCTTAATTACAAGATCCAGTCACTGCATTTAAAATAATCCATTGTCAGTAAAGTACTTCGAGGTGTAATACACAAATGCATGTCTCTCCTTAACTGGTGAAAATAGCTACTTAGTCAAGTTACTGGGAGACAATCAGCACCCAAGAACTATTATCAAAAATGTTAATGCTTTTAGCAGAGCAAAACACTCTGCAAAATTAGAAAGTAAAGATAAGTGGGTTGCACAATGAACTGAATAGCTATGAGTATATGCCTACAATTGCCAAACATCCCAGACTTCACAATCTCACTTATGGTCTGAGTGGTTGGATGTTAACTTTAGAAAAGTGACAGTGAGTAAAAGAATACATTTGCTGAATATGGCATTACAGACACTTACAGTATGTACAAAATAATTAACAATACTGTACCTCATGAATGTATGTTCTTCGCTGAACTTCTGGGGAACTTTCAGGCGATGAAATGTTCTTTGTAGAGGTCAAAGGAAAGAAGCAAAAAAGGTAAAAATATGAATAATGGATATCTTAGAACCAGTGCTAATTTGTTCATGTCATTGCATTTCAGTAAAACCAAATGATGTCTATTGAATAACTTGTAAACTCATCCAAAAACAAATTCTTTTTATGCTATCTCACATTGTAGGACCTTGCTGTGCACAAACTGACCACCAACTTTCTTACATTACAACAGTGACGACACTTCAAAAGCACCTTATTGGCTGTAAAGTGCTTTGAGATGATGAGCGCTGTGAGTCTTTGCAGTCCTTGGGGCATATGTAATCCATTGTGCTGTTAAAAAAGGAACTCCAGAATTTTGACCCAACTGCAGTGAAGGAATGATGATACAGTTCTCAAATCAGGATTTATATCTTAGATTTACATCTGGAAGAAATGGTTGTTTGCTAATGTTCACCATGAAAGGCCTAGGAACAAAGTCATTTCTGATTTCAAATCAGGCAAGAGAAACAAGCCAACGTGACCAGGTAAACAAAAGATTCAGAACAATTATTTTGGTATTTTGCCAGTTGTCATTTTTTCATGTGCCCAAAATTGCCCAAACATGTATATTTCATCGAGGAAGACCAAATGTTCCATTAGGCAGTGTTTCTTGCTATTTCATCGCTTAATAATATTGCAAGCTTAATGAGCCCATTAACTTAGCTTCATGAACCCTAAACACATCCAAAATAATGAAGGCATAAAAGGAGAGAGCCAGGCAGCCAATGTATAATCATGTTACATTTCAGAAGGTAAACGTGCATATGAATAGCCACCAAGAATTGTAAAGCACTGCTTGCACAATACATGTATACAATCTGGAGAGAACTTCCAATTGCACAGCACAAATAATCAGAATGCATTTTTACAAATTAAACTGGATAAAAATGAAGGTTTCAGAAATCTGAAGGCACCAAACTTTAATTAAAGCAATTCAGATTCTGATCTGGAACTGGTAACACAGATCCCCAGAAAGCACAACACTTTATAAGCCAAAACAGAAATTGCTGGAAAATCCACCAGGCCTGGCAGAATCTAGAGAGAAATCAGAGTTAATGTTTCGGATCCAATGAGCCTTCTTCAGAAGTGATGGTAGCTGGGAAAAGGATGGTTTTTATACAGAAGATGGGGGCTGAGGGGGGAGTAAACGATAGGCGGAGATACAGCTCAAAGAGACAGAAAAACAGTTGGTCAAACAAAGGAGTGGTTAAAGGTCAGCTGGAATGAAAAGCTGCTAAATGGGGACAATTAGTGGCTGACAATGGGTAGTGTGTGTTATCAGCCTGTGTAATGACAAGGCCTAGTTTGTGGGGATGGGGAAAAAGCAAGGGGAAAAGGTGCTCAAACCCTAAAACTGTTGAACTCAATATCAAGTTCAGAAGGCTGCAGCATTTCCAAGTAGAAAATGAGATGCTGTTCTTCCAGCCTGTGCTCAGCTTCACTGGAGCCCTGTAGCAAGCCTAATATAGAGATGTTGGCCAGAGAACACGGTGGTATGTTGAAGTGGCAAGCAACTGGAAGCTCAGGGTCTTTTTCTGCGGATAGAACGCAGGTGTTCTGCGAAGCTGTCACTCAGTCTGTGCTTCATTTCCCCCCATATAAAGCTTTATACACTTCATGAAGCTTCATGAAACAAATACTTTCATGTCAAAATAAGGTCTTAAACGGCGTGTTTATCATCTCTTTCCTATTTAAAAAGTTGTATTATCCTAGTGAAATTCAAAAATTATAATACATTCAATTCACAGAATGGTCTTGAATTCTGCCTCCCAAAGGCAGGTCTTGGGACTACTAATGCTTTACCCTTGGTTGCTACCTTGACAGTTTTCGTCAGTGATGGTTGGCTGCTAACTTCCACTTTCAGGGACAGAGCTAGGAGACAGGTCTCAAGTCAATCTCAGCTGAAACAGGAATCAAACTTATACTGTTGCCATTATTCTGAATCACAGACTAGCCATCTAATTAATTGAATTTATAATCGATAATGCAATAACTATTCAAAAATCATCACTGCTTCAAGAAAACATCTCTGGGCATATATTTAGCAAAAACTAAATTAGCTGTTATTTAATTTGCACTTTAGAAGACAATCCACTAATTTGATTTTTTCTGTCTCTAATGTAAAAATGGTCGATTATGGAAGTTATCTTATTGTACTAGGCATAATATTATCTTAAAGCAAAATAGAGCAGATTCAATTATAATGTAATGCTTCCCATAATATTTCAAGCAACAACACTTTCCTATTAAGTACGAACTCACCTCAAATTGCAGGGAATTTCCTTGAAGGTTGGGTGTTACAGGTGTCACAGGTGAATAAACAGGCTTGTAGCCATTTCTACAGGATTCATCCTCCATTTTTCCTTTTGTTGGAGTACTGCACATAGAAGGATCTGAGGCTGTGATTTCAACAAATGGGGGAGTTGTCTGTGGGGATGGGTTTGGAGTGGAAGGTTCAAGTAACCCAGAATCTGTTAGGTGGCGCAATCTCCTCTTCTTCAAAGGGGTAATTAATTCTGTAAGACAGGGCAGAAGACAGGAACAGAAAACCATTTTTGGGATTAAAGACAAGTGAAGATCTGAATAATCAATTAATTCATGAATGAAGAAGAAAAAAAATCAAACTTAACATATTTTGTATAAGACCTAAGTTAGGAGATGCAACAACTCCTTCCAAACACACTTTCCAGATGGAAGCAATTGATTAAGATGCAGTCTCCTTTAGTTTGGAGAGACAAACTGGATACAGAGTGGCTGTTTGGCAGAACATATCAACTAGCCTAGAAGCATGACCCCAAGATTTCAACTGCCTGTCATTTTAATTCTCCACTCTATTCTCACACTTCTGACTTCAGCCTCCCCCTCTGTCCCAATAAACCTTAAGGTTGGAAGTGCCACTTCATTTTACAACTAGGCACTTTACAGCCTTCTGAATTACACACAGTTCAACAATTTTAGCTGCCTGAAGGAACGTCTTGCCCTGCTGGTGACAATTCATTTATTCCATTTACATTCCTCTAGGAGGCAAGGCTTTTTGTTTCTTGCCCAATTACCGTCTCCTTTTGCCTCAATCCATCATCTCTTTTATTTAATCTCACCTGTTCTTTGCTCTTTTCTTCCCTCCCTGTTTTCCTGCCTTTGTATTGACTTAAAAACCTCTACATCTCTAATTTTTCTCTCATCTGACAGTTATTGAACTGAAATGTTAACATTTTCTCTCCCCACAGTTGCTGTATGATGATGAACATGTCCAGTACTTTCTGTTTCTATTTCAAATTTTCAACTTACAGTTCTTTGCATTTGTATAAATCAACTGACAGTGGCTCGCTCAAGGTTGGACTGAACTGATTCAAAACAACTATCATACCGAACACAAGAAATTTAACATCATCAAGATTCTACGAACCCAAGGTTAAAAATCTAATTAAAATCTAATTTTAGCATCACCAGAAACTAAATACGCCCCTTGATGGGAGATTATAGGAAGGCAACCCAAGTTCTATAAAAGCAAGCTACCCGAGGATCTATCCCAAACAGATATGAAAGATGGAAGAAAAAGTAGGGTTTGAAACAATTTCAAATATATGGAAGATACGCAAACGAAAAAATGGAATCCACTATAATTCTGATTTAAATAAATCATCAGTTTGTTACAATTCTAATGTTTCAGTATATTATGACATTAGTGCATTTCAATACCTGTTAAACAGCAATTCCCACCAAGTACAGTTGTGCTTGGGCTGTTTGTTTCTCCACTCATTGCTGGACTTAGAGAGCCATCATAAGACGTGGAGTCAAAGGCATCAGCAACTGTTGAAGAAGTTTCATCCTCCAAGGCCTGCTTTAACCAACGCTTCACAAAACAAATATAGAAATGAAATGCCACTCAATATAATGACAAAAGACAAGACAAAAACAAAAGTTTAACACTAAAGTTATCAGTTTCTCAGTGTTTGCATTAACATTCAGGTATATGAGAACTTTGCATAAATTAAAGGAATTGCTTTTCTAAAATCCTGGGAACAAAGCAAACTTTACTTAGGGTGAAAATTCACTTGCTTTAGATATTTGGGTCTTGACAGTGGAGTTCGTATCTATTTCAAACTTACAGGAAACTTTAACAATTCCACATTTGTTAAACGAAAATCATTTGTGCATTACGAATGACACCAAGTTAATTCATAAAGTCTCTACACCAAAATAAATTTACATGACCATGGAAAAGAGATAAAATTATATTACCTTTTTACAGGATCCAACCTTTGGTTCTAAAGGTTCTTTCCGTCTTCTTCTTTCTGACAAGAATGGGGAGCAGAAGCGAATATAGTGCTTAGGAGTTGTATAAATATGGGGACTGTGTGTAAGGCCAGGCAATGAATTCAACTGCGTAGCTAAAACCTCAGGGTCTGTTGTTATCCGCAGAGGTCTATCTAAAGGGTTGTCTGTTAGTTTAACAGCCTTCTCATTCAACCATTCACTGACCAAGTGCTGAAAAAAAACACAAAATTTTAAGATGATTAATGCTGCTAGAAAACCAACTGTAATTGTAATATTTAAAATAATCTTTGTATTTGTTTTCCATCTTATTTTCCGAGTTGGGTCATGCAGGAATGAGACTTACTTTAAAAACCAGATAGGTGCTAAAATGTTATTTTTGAAATTGGAAATTTAAAAGTAGGAAATAAGTGTTTATTAGATAGGAATAAGATTAAAATGAAATATTGGCATATTATTTTATTAATGTGAGGCATGAACTATAACATCGTATTATCAGTGCTGAAGACTCTAAATATACTTTGATAATTCTAGCACAGATACAATGAGCTAAGTGGCCCTTTGCTGTGCCATAAACTTTCTATGATTCTCTGGGTCAATGTTTTCTAAGGCACAGAAATGTTAATAAGATAAACAGATATATCAATTACATCCATACATACATACCTTTTTTGTCTTGGGGTACTTTGTTGTTGTTTTGTTACTAGTTGGTGATGGTGTTCCTGCTGCTTCGTCTGTTGTTACTGTGGTGGTTTCTGCTGTTGTTGATGGTTCTACTTCAATTGCCTCTTCTTCCATGTTAGTATCACATGATCTGGGTGTTGTTTCAGGAAAAGAACTTTCAACTTCATTCTGTTGGTTACTGGAGATATCGACTTCTGGAGAAGATGGAGGAACATCCGAGCATGTACTGACAGTTCTGTGCCTTCGACGTTGCTGTCCTATGTGAGTTCTACTGCGAGAGAAGCTTTTCCTCTGTTTTGCTCTGTTTACCCTGGCAGGATTAGGTTTGCTTAAAACGTCTTCCTTGACCGAGTCCTAGAAGAAATACGCACATGATGTAATAATCAAAATTTTATACACCTGTTGAGGGAGCAGAGTGTGATGAAATTCAACATTAAAGGCAAAGAATCAATGCAAGCATGTAGCTTTTTGTAAGAATTACTAGAAATGATGCTGGGCTAGATCCTGCTGGGACACATCATTCTAGACTGTTCCTACCCTTTGGAGCAAAACCCATTTGAATCCTAACATGTTAAAGTGCAAGCTGGTATTGGTGTGGAGTATTTGTGATCTTGATCAAGAATGGTGACAAAAATGTATCCCCTTGATGAGTGATAATTAAAGATTTCAAGAGAAGCAGCAGAACAAAGGGCGATTTTGAGTCAATTCAGCTACTTAAAGAAAAATACATGGGGATAAAGAGACAGTGACTAACATGATGTATATGAGTGAGAGAAAGAGAGAGAGAGAGAGAGAGAGAGAGAGAGAGAGAGAGAGAGAGAAACCATGGGGGATGAGGAAGGAAGAAGACAGGGAAGGAGTACCAAAGGGAGGGTAAGAAAGGGGCAGAAAAGGGGCTGAAGAAAATAGGAGCAGTAAAAAAGAGCCAGTTAGGCTGCAAGGGAAAGACAGCAGTTTTGAGTCTTTAAACAATGGAATATTGTATTGTATAAACATTCCTATTGTAATGAAATTGCTGATTGGATAATCAAATCTGAACAGCTTTCTTTCATGAAGTTTATATTTGTGTTATCCCAAATCAAAGCATCTCACATACTGTAAATTACTTGAAGGGCAGTGATCGAGTTACATGCATATACGTAACCAGCTGGCTGTGGCCTCCCCAGTCTGTGGGGAGCATGTTTATAGTGATTTTTTTTGCTATTGTTATGTGTCAGTTATTTTTTTTTTTGCTAACTTACGCTCATCATATCCTTTCAATTTTAATACTATGGTACCCTAAAATTAATACTTTCCTTGTGTGTTGTTCTTCTGTTTAACAAAGCAATGATGGTTATTAAAGACATTGTTGAGTTCTTCTAAATTTGCTTTTGAGAGATTCTAACTACACATAGAATCATAGAAAAGTTACAGCACAGATTTTCAGTTCACTGTGCTGGCTGAAGAAACAAGTTGCCCATTCTAGACATTTTTCCTAAGCAATGTCTCCAGGAATGTTATTCCATACTTCTGGTGCAGGTGGGACTTGAACATGGGCCTCCTGACTCAGAGGTAGGGACATTACCACTGTGCCACATTAGCTCAAACAGCCCATTCAAATTCCATTTACCAGGACCGAGTCTTGTAGCCTGGCAGGTTACAGCACTTCAGGTGCAGATCCAGGTTCATTTTAAATAAGTTAAGGGTTTCCAAACTGGGAAGCGAATTCTAAACACCCAGCACTCACCAGGAAAAAAGTTTTCACATCCGGCATAATCCTTCTTACAATCACATTAAATCTATGCCCTCTGGTAAGTAACATCTCTATTCAGGGAAATAGGTCTACCCTGTCCACTCAACTGAAGTTCTTTATTATTCAGACACCTCAATTAACTCACCCCTTACTCTCCCCTGTTCCGAGGAAAATAACCCTTGCCTATCCAATCTTTGCTCATATCTGCAATTTTCAAGCCCTGGCAATATTCTTGTAAATCTCCTTTGTACTCTCTTTAGAACAATCATGTCTCAGCTGCATCGAGAGCCCAGCATTATAACCAAAACCCTAGCTATGACTTAACCAGTGTCCTTACAATTCCAACGTTACATCCCTGCTCTTGTATTCAGTATCTTGCCTAATGAAGAAAAGCATCCCATATATCTCCTTTACCATTTTATCTACCCATCCTCCAACCTTCAGGCAGACATGTACTCCGAGGTCTCTCCCTTCTTCAAACCACTCAATACCCTCCTATTTATTGTGCATTCCCATGTTAATGTGTCCTCCGTGAATGCAAAACTTTGCATTTCTCCAGACTGAATTCAAGTTGTTACTTTTCAGGCAACTCAACCAAGCCACTGAAATGCTCCTGCTGTTGACAGCCATCCTCTTCCATACTGACTACCTAGTCAATTTGTTTGTCCTCTGCAAATCTCCTAATCATGCCTCCCACAATTAAAGCTAAATCATTCCATATACCGCAAAGAGCAAGGGACTCAAAACTGAACCTTGTGCAATACCAATGGAATCTGCTACACTCTCGCAAAAACACCCATCAATCACTTATTCCCTGTCAATGAGCTCATTATGGATCCAACCTACTTTCTGCTGTATCCCATGGGCTTTAACTTCTTCTCAGTCTGCCACGTGGGACCATGTCAAATGTCTTTCTGTAATCCATGTAGTTAATATTCAATGCACAATTCTCATCAATCCTCCTCGCTACTTTCTCACAAAATTCCAGGTAGTAAGACATGAACTTCCTTTAACAAAACCATATATATCAACATAAATGCACAAGGTAATGTTGGCACATGCCTGCATCACCTAATAGTTAATGAAAATAAAAGAGGAACACCCAAAACCTAAATGTAGTTCATGAGAAAATCTTGAGACACACTCCAAAATGAAACCTTCAACAATAGCACTTTGTTTTTAATCTTAATCTCCTGAACCTGCTGGCCAACTGATAACATTTATTGATATACAAGTTGTTTTGGCTTTCACAAAATATTTAGCTTACAGAGTACATTTTCAAAAAAAAAATCATACTCACTGTCTTTTGAAATTTTAACAAGGTCCCAAATACTAAATGCACTTTTAGTACTGAAATAATGATTTACCTTTAACTTTGAAGCAGATATCTGATTGCTTCGCTTGAGTACTTCAACAAGGCCATCCTGATAGTTTAGTCATTTAAGTTTTGAGACAACGGGAAAATATTGACCAAGAAACGTTTCTCTAGCAGGCATCTCTTAACTGCCAGGGCTTCCAAGTCTAGTTTCCAAGTCTAAGTGGAGTATTTGGCTAGATAATTTAAGAAGAAATCCTTGGCATTGGGATGCAAATGTGAACACACCATTTAAGCCTAGATTACCAGAAAATCTGCTGCCTACTCTTATAAGATGTTATCCACTTTTAATAGGACACATATCTCAAAACTGTAAAAACAGGGAGGACAGAGAACTTTTCCTATAATTTGTTGGTATAGTGTATCATTTTTGTAATGTCTACCTGGAGACTCAAAAAAATTGGCTCTGCACAGTCTGAAGGTGACTCAAAGATAACAGGTTATTGTGTAGTCCCCAATTATGAGTCTCAGCTGCTTGAGAACGCATGAATTGCTAATGTCATAGGGAAGGGTTATCCACAGACATTTGTTAACATTACTTTCTGGAAATGGTTATCTCAAATCTTGGTTTCAACTATGTCTAACTGCTTGTAAACCCAATAACAATCTACTATTAAAGCTGCTAAGTTACATTGATTAATGAGATACATCAATCAATCTTTCCCTGCTTCTCGAGCAGTTGTTACTTTTGATTGCTTACCATGTCTCAAAATCTTAGAAGTTTCTTCTAACCCCTTTGTTGTACCCATGGTTCAGTTCCTTGACTTAGTTCACTTTTTTTCTGTCAGCTTGCTGATCTTAGCAAATTACTACTTGAACAAGTTTAAACCCTGGTATGTTTCTCAGCTGTTCTGCTCTTTTGACCACCAGCAATTTTGTAACCACCTGAAAAGTGCCCTCCAAAGTCACCCATTTCCTACATTATAACATTGGCAAAACTTCAAATGGACATTAGTAGCTATCAAAAGCATATCTGGACATCAAAGGTTGTGAAAGACATTCTATTTTTAATTTTTTCTTTCATGGTGTGTGAATCCTGTCAATTAAGTTTCATTTCTGGGAACACCACCACCTGCAAGTTCCCCTTCAAGGCACACATCATTCTGATTTCCTATTTGGCACTCTTTCACGGTCATTGTGTTAAAATCCTGCAACTCCCCTCGTATAGCACTGTGGATGTCCCTACACTACATGGACATCACTAATTCAAGAAGGCAGTTCACCACCATCTTCTGCAAGTAATTACGGATGGGCAATAAATGCTGGCCTAGTCAGCAACTCTAATATCCCACGAATGAATAAACAAAACCAGAAGAAGGGCCTTCCTCACCAAGTTCATTCCAGTCTTTGAGAAAATAATGATAATATATACCTGTGTGGGATCTGTGACAGTAACTGCTTGGCTTTCTTTGTTGTCCACTTTGACATCTTTTGCTGTGCTGATCCGTTCTAAAGCCTGTTCCCTTCTTTTCTCCCTCTTCTCCATCTTTGCAAATGCTTGCATAATAGCTTCCATTTTTCGTTCTTCTCTGGTCTGTTAAAATAGATTTGGTAAAACTGCATGAACATCAGGTATTCCAATAGAAGTACACCAAGATCAGCTGACTTTCTAAAATGCTACTTGTACCTGCAATTTCTTATGTAAGATTTATGTAATAAAAATAATTTAAGGTTATAATCTGAGAAACAATTTATAAAGCATAATCTGCAGTAGCTGGTGAACAGTTACTTTGGTCTTTTTGTGTGATATCGGCCTAAAGTTATAAGGGAAATCTAACCTCAAACACAAAGCAAAATGATTACTATCATTCTTTTATGATTATGCTTAGCTGTCTTGAATTCTTTACTACTTTAGTACCAGCTCTTCCTTGCTGTTCATATTGCTTTGTTTTTTTTATGCACACAAACTGCAGCTCCAAGCATTTATAGTGATCACAGGAAACTATATACAACATGGCCACAATATTTTATGGAGAGGCAATCAAAATGCAGAGCAGACTAAAAAGAGATGCATAGATGCTGCCAGACTTGCTAAGTTTTCCAGCAATTTGTTTGTATTTCTGATGTCCAGCATCCTCATATTTTTTTTTTTACACATAGGCTCTGTCAGACTTAATAACAGGACTTCTAATAAATCTTTTTCTTCAATTTTCCAAGCAGCAGTCAGCCAAACTGTCAGTCTGCCTGATGGTCAGGAGGGGAAATTAGCAGGAGGCCTCTGCCCAGGTATTCTTAGCGCCCCTACCCAGCAATTGGGAGCAAAAGGGCAATTCAGAGGTCAGATCTGGGTTGGGGGTGTGGCAGTACTGGCCATCGAGGTTGGCTGGAAAGACAGGTCATTGGTGATGGAAGGAGAGATTGGATCTCAGTGTCATAACCAGAGAAAGAAGCAGTCAGTCAGTCATTGGGGACACATTCAGAGCAGCCAGATGTTTCTTTGAGGGATAAAGATGAACAGTCTTCTTCCGAGCTGAGAGGGAGTATGAGAAAAAAACCCTATCTCCTTCTCAATACCAACTTCCCTGACCTCTGAGAAACTTGCACAGCAGCAAATTTTAAATCAGGATTCCAACCACGCAGCTGGTGCCTAATTCAAGTATGTTAATGACATTCCTGTGGGATACATGTCATGTAAAAACTGTCCCACCTATCCACGGTGGATCACATGGATGCCAGTTTTTTCACTGTTGTAAAAATGGTGACAAATACATCTATAGCATGTTCAAAATATGTCTTGCATATTTTAGTCCACGCTTCACAGGTAAGAACAAACATACGTGGTATTTTTGAAGGATATTTCAACACATTAAAAAAAAATCTACATTTATAAAAGAACTGGCTTTAAGTTTAAACATGGTTTCTAACAGTTCTCAATGTATCATGGAAGGCTTTTACAGTAAGTTTACTTTCACATGCAACAAAACCACATCATTTTTATTCCATGTTAATGGCAGTAAAGTGACACATGAACTATAACAGGGATACCTATAAAATTCTCTACGGACCCAGCCTAAAGGGCGTCACAGTCTTGTATAGCGCACAAAGTAAAAATAACTTCAACTAGTACAAGCATACCTTTACCTACATACAACAAAAGCAAATAATCTGTACTCTACCATCCAAGTGTGTTGAATGACCATTTAGGTGACACTTTGAGAACGTCATCACTTTTACATGCTCGTTTTTTGCTCAAATTCCAAGCCCTTGCATTTTTAATGTTGTTCACTAACTGTCCATAACCTGAATTGAAGCACACTCTTGTACAACACTTGTATATCACAATGGCAATGGCAATAATTGTTAAAAAAAGTGGGGAAAATTTACACAATCTTACCATCTGTTCATTTTAGGTGAATATATAAAGAACAGCAAATCTGAGAACAGGGATAATGGACATGTATGACATAATGGGATGTTACATAATCACAGCCAGTCATTCTCTCTAATCATCATTTATTGGACTGTACAGATCAGTATAAAGCATAGGAACTAGTCATCAGCTTTTAACTCCCAACTATCAGCCTGTTTTGGTCATAAAACATGTGTCTTGCATCTAGCTTCTTGCTTATCAGAGCAGCTTTCAGCGCACTGTGGTTCTGCAGGATTAGCTTTATCCAACTAGAGATAACAATATAAGTTGGGCTATCTCTGGAATTAAAAATATTTCAGCTCTGCAACACTAAACTCACCGTAGATATATTTCAATCAACTTATCCAGTGATGTAATGACAAATCTCTGGAGCAGGTTGGATTTGAACAAGGTCTCCTGACCCACAGCAGAGACATTCTATGTCTATAGGGCAGTATACTATATTAAAGAACTCACAACATCTTCAGGTAAAAGTAACACCCAATTTGTTTCTATTTTCCGTCTTCCTACTTAACAGATAACTGGGATTCAACATCAACTCCCTTTACTCTCCAGATAAAGTATGCTTCTTAGAACACAGAAATATAGGAGTTAGGACTGGTGTAAGCAATCCAGCCCTTCAAGTCTATTCCACCATTTAACATGGTCATGGCTGATCTTATCCTGGTCTCAACTCCACTTTCCTGTCAGCTTTGCACAGCCCTTTATCCCACTTTTCACCTGAAACATATCTATTTCTTTCTTGAATCTGTGAATTGCTTCTACCTCCACTGCACTCTGGGGCAGTGAGTTCCACAGATTCACAACTGTCTGAGAGGAATAGTTTCTCCTCATCTCAGTTTTGAACCTACCTCCACTCACTCTATATCTATGATCTCTTGTTAGAGACTGTCCCAAAGGGGAACATTTATTCAAAGTCGACCATATCAATCCCCTTTAGCATTTTATATACCTCAATCAAATCCCCTCTCACTCTTCTCAACCTCAATGAGTACAGGCCCAAGCTATTCAACCGTTTCCTCGTATGATAGCCCTTTCATCCCAAATCAATCTGGTCAATCTCCTCTGAACTGCCTCCAGTGCCACCACATCCTTCCTCAAGTAAGGAGACCAAAATTCCAGGTGTGGTATCAGCAATGCCTTATATAAATTGTAACAACACTTAACTTTTATAATCCACTTCTGTTGCAATAAATGCCAGGATTCAATTTATCTTTTTATTATATGCTGCACCTGCATACCCACCTTCTGCAAGTCATGCACAAAGACACCCAGATCCCTCTGTACTGACGTACAATGAATTAGTGTCCCATTGAAATAATAATTTGTTCTTTTATTTTTCTGGCCAAAATGGACAACCTTAGACTTATCCACATTAAATTCCATCTGCCAGATTCTGGCCCATTTTCCTGGCTATCAATATCCATCTGTAAAGCTCTATCTCCTCATGACAGCCTGCTTTCCCACCTATTTTAGTATTGTCTGCGAATTTAGCTATGTTACACACTGTCTCTGCTTGCAGATCATTTACATAGATTGTAAATAGTTAAGGTCCAAAAACTGAACCCTGTGGCACCTCACTAGTTACAGTTCACCATGCAGAGAAAGATCCATTTATCTCAACTTTGGCTTTCTTTCAGTCAGCCAATTGTCAATCCAAGCCAATACTCTATGCTCAACCCCCTGTGATCTAACCTTCTTGATCAGTCTTTTATGCAGCACTTTGTCAAATACCTTCTGGAAGTCTAGATATACCACATCCGCCAGATCCCTATTATTCACTTTGCTGGTTACATCCTCAAACAGCTCCAGCAAGTTTGTCAAGCATGACTTGCCCTACCTGAAACTGACACTGATACCAAATCTAAAGCAGCCAGTTCTCTGGTTGGCTCCATTACACATTGTTCTAAGAAGCAATTCCTTTCTTCGAGGCTACCCCTTGCCAAACTGATTAATCCAGTCAATACGCACGTTCAAATTGCCCATAATTACCGCTGTGCCCTTCTCACAAGCCCTCATTATTTCCTGGTTTATACTATGCCCTACTTTGGAAGCATTGCTTGGAGGCCTGTAAATTACTCCTGCAAAGTGGTTTCTTCCCTTGTTTTTCATTTCCACTCAGACTGATTCAATATTTTGGTCTCTAGTACTAATATTATTTCTTAATACAGCTTTGATGTCATCCTTAACCAATAAAGCAACTTCACTCTTGCTTCTTGTCTATCCTTTAGGAATATTGGGTACCTATGGACATTTAAATTAATTAACGCAATTAATTAACATAATGACCATAATTAATAAATGACATTGGTTAATTCATTCTTTTTCACTGCACTGTCAAGAAATATTCCCATAATATTAGCATTCCCTTATTTTTTCTCTCAGTGGAATGGAAGCAACATCATCAACTGCGTTGTCAAAAACATGGACAATTATGATGGCCAAATAAAAGGAAAGGGAAAATTGAAGGTGTGGAGAAGGGGGTAAGGATTATAAAATTAATTACCACACTCTGAAATGTGAGAAATGCTGATTAAGTGTCTAAATTCTCAGCCAATCAGAATTGGGTGTTCTTCTTCAGTTAAGTATTAGAAGTTACTTGATATAATTCCTGAAAGCATCATAGTATCAAATATATTCAAGAGAAGTATCAAAACATCTGATTAAAGACAGATTTAAGCTTTTACAAGAAGCAGCACAGCGAGGCAAATTGGACCACTACATTGACACAAAAACTGCAGCAATATTCTACAAATAAATACAATATCTTTTAGGTGCTAAAATCTGACTAGCGACTCAGAGGGAACTCAACGCGCAAATAAAAATACAACTTATAAAATTATACTAATGGAAACCCAATTTCTAAAGCAGCAACAATTAGCATTCATTTAAAGCTTTATCAGTGCCTGAAGTCTAGAGATAGCATGAAGCAGCTATTTGCCTGTCAACTTACCATCTTTCTTTTTCTCTCTGCAATCTGCTCCTCAGACTCCATCTCTACTTCATTGCTAACTGGAGGTTTTTCTTCTATTTCCTCAATTATATCTGGCTCCTGCAAGATGGAAATGACTGCTTTACATGATCTGCACTACTCTCTCTACAGATGATGGAGAGCTATATTCTCGCTAGATCAGCTGCTACAGGGGTATACAGCTGGCTATCAAGTCAAAATTAATTCCTATATCAAGATATGCCATGTTTTTACCTGGTTGTTAGACAGAGACACCCTGAGAGGAGACAGTTTTCTCTGTTTGTTATCCAAAGTTTTCGTTTTGGTGGCTGTTCCTTCAGTATCAGAAGTGGCATTTTGATTTTGAGCATCTTTATCTTTCAAGCTGTCCTTCTCTTTCTTTCCTTTTCTCCTTCTCGTTTCATAGCCAGTGCTGAGGTTTTCGGTTGGCTCCAAGTTTTGTTTGAGGACTGGACAATCTGGATTCCCCTTTAGACACGCACAATCTACTTTGTATTTGCTGTGTGGAGGAACAAAAATTCATAGCCACAAGTGCTTAGGAATTCTTCAGGAAGATTCTCAACTCCAAAAAGGGATAGTAACATCAATACTCACAGCAGCAAAAAAAAGTATTTGTGGCTATTCAGAATAGTAACAAATGCTGTAGCACTGTTTATGGGAGGAGGAAATAAAAATAATCTCTTAGCTTCAGGCACAATGTCAGACATGTGAGGGAGTTATTTCACTCAATCCGTCCAATGAAAAGGTATACGCTCTTTCTTTAATATATCTCCCCAACCTATCTAGAATTGGAAACACTTGAGCTAGTCAGGTTGTGATGTTAGAGCGTTGATCAGGTCAGGGTGGTCAGTTATATAGTTACCCAGAAATGGCACTATTGCCAGGAGTGGCTTGTTACAGTTTTTTCATTCCTCTGCCACTAAATCTTTGTTAGGGTTAGAAAACATTGTCAAATTGAACCTGAAGTATTTTACCCCTTCAAGCTTATGATAAAATTTACCAACATGTCCACAGTCATTAAACTATCACAGACATACTTACCAGTTCCCATAATCAAAGTCAAATCCAATCGTAATTTCAGCTCCCTTTGGAATGCTTCTCATGGAGCAGATATGAAGGTGAATCATACCATCTTCAATAACATGTCGAACCTATAATTTCAAAAACGTGCAGAAAAAATTAACTGGCCTCAATTTTGCAAAAAAAAAAAAAAGGCCTTGATGTTTACTACTTTTAAAGTATAATTTCTAGCAGTTATTTGTGCAGTTAAGTGCAAGAACCAGAAAGCTGCTATCCAGGATTCACTACTCTTTCTAAAGCTGCGATATATCAATACCTTAACAAAAACCAAGCAGAGAAATAGATGAAAGAGTGAGATTTTGCAGTATTTATGAGATAGGCATGTAGTAAATTAATCAGAAACAAATAGACTTTCTTCCTTCCAAGACAAGTCAATTTTTATTGATTTTTAGAAAAAAATCTTAATTATTATCAACAACTATTTTGGCACTGAAAATTAAGTTTTATTATGTGGAACTTAATTTCTTTGGAATTTAATTATTGCTGAAGATTTGGTGGAGTAAATATTTTTAAAAACCATAATCTGGAAGCAAAGTAACTATTCCAACTGAAACCACTTGGATCAGATTCTGCAGTCTCATTAACAATTCTTCAAGATTCAGAGTTGCTGGTCTTTTACACGGAGGCACTGAATTCCTGCAAAGGTTGCTGTGCCAAAGTGACCCCTAATTATAACTTGTTCCTGTGCAAAATCTGTGAACAAATACGCTCGTAATGAACAACTGGCACCTTTTGTTCACAGTTGACTGTAATCTCCAACCACAGTTAATCCCAAATGTTTTTATCAAGAAATAACTCACCTCTGAATTTGGTATACAAGACCGCCTGATGAATCGTGCTTCATTTCCAAATGTTCTCGCATCGACGCACATTTCTAGTCCACGAAAGTTTGAATAAAATAACACAAAGGGATAAGGCCTAGAAGGAAAACAGTAAATACTAAGAAAGATAATGCTGGGTCATGAAATTTTGCTCAAGGTTTGTTACTTTCAACAACTTTGCAAGTTCTCTCATTAAATTATGTTCATGGAAAAATAGTCATTTGTCCCTTTCCATAAATAACAAAAAACTTTATTTTCTCAGTCATTTTCTGATTTTGGCATGTAATCGTTTGCTTGGTTTCAGAAACACATCTATCGATGAACATGCAGTCTTAGAATTTTTGAGACTTCACATAACTTTGCAAAAGTTATCCTCATGACTTGGCTAGATCTGTGGGAAAGGGTGAAGGTGATATTATTTCTGAAGAAGGGTCTCGACCCGAAACGTCAGCTTTCCTGCTCCTCTGATGCTGCTTGGCCTGCTGTGTTCACCCAGCTCCACACCGTGTTATCTAAGTTGATATTATAGTCAGCTTCTACGTGTTTGTATTAACTGAATGTTTTGAGAGCAGAGGGAGGAATGAAGTGGCAATGGTTCAATCTTTAATCACTGCCCAGTGATTCTTGCTAGAAGTATATACAAGAATATTCAAAATGCAGGTGGTCATTAAAAATCCATTCCACTGATTTAATATTTTGTATTGTGTCCATTTATCACAGAGTTAAAAGTGAGATATTCAAGTCTTGGAAGTGATGGAAAATAAACAGTAAACCCTCTCTACATTAAAGAAGCGAATCAGCAATTTGGAGAAACATGGATTGTTCATTCTTGAAAGAATTTAATTGAGAGTAATTCCTGTAGGAATAGTTCCTAAGGAGTACAGCAGTTAAGAAGGCAGCTCACCATCAACTTCTCCAAGGAAATTAGGGATGGGTAATAAATGCTGGCCGAGCCAGTGAAGTCCATACCCCATGTACAAATCAAAATAAGAGATGCAAACTTGTTTGCCCAACATCCATTCTCAGATGAGTCAGACGTTCTCCAACTAAATGCTGGAAGTACACATTTCAAACTCTGTTTCCCAACCAACGTATTCATTGCCCTCCCTGGTCAATTTTCAGACTGAACCAGTTCACTATCTCAGTTTATTATTTGTCCCTGAGCTGGATTTTCTGATTCTTTACACATTATGAAGACCATATACTTTATTTCTATAATACTGGGAATCTCAGGCCCTACCATAGCAGACCTGTTGCTGAAATATTTACCCCTTTTTAAACAATTCCAATGGCTGGCTATTTATTTTCTATTGTCCACAAACTTTACCTCATTCGAAATTCTGCTGTTCTTGACTTAATTTGCATTAAATCCCTTTACCCAGCACACAGGTGCTCACTGACCCATGCTGACAACTGGGGTACAGCAATACCTGGATTTGAAAATTTTCATGTTCCAACTCCTATTATTGACCTCTATCCTCCATAATCGCTGGAAGGTTTTCCAGAAGTACAAAGATGAGAAATTGCTGGAAAAGCTGAGGTCTGGCAGCATCTGTGAAGAGAAATCAGAGTTAACGTGTTGGGTCCGGTGACCCTCCCTCAGAACCCTCAGACCCTTCTGAAGAGCGGTCACCGGACCTGAAACAGTAACTCTGACTTCTCTTCACAGATGCTGCCAGACCTGCTGAGTTTTTCCAGCAACTTCTGTTTTTGCTCCTGACTTACAGCATCCATAGTTCTTGTGGTTTTTATTTAGTACAAAGCTCAGAGCTCTACATCCCTAACCATGGCTTCTTGCACCACCAACCCCATCTCATCTGAAGCACAATCGGCAGCTGTACTTTTAGCTGTCTGGCCCTCAGATTCTGGCATTTTCTTCCTAAACCTATCCATCTCTCTCTCTTAAGGCATATAATATTTCCTTCTCTGGCTCAAAATTTATCTTGGTAAATATCTGAAGGTGCTTTGCAGAATATAATATTAAAGGTGCTACCCAAATACAAGTTGCTGTTGATGTCCCAATTGTAACTTCTACATTTGATCATGCAACAGAAAGGGCACCATTAAGCAAATTGTCACACTATTATCGATGCTTGCAATAGTTTTGTAACTGTTACAGAAATACTTTCATCTCAATCAGTTGTCATTTTTTTAAAACTTAGTTGACACAACCAAGTATTGCATCTAATGGCATTCACCCTTCCTTACACTTGCCTTTAATGATTAGGATTTTACATTCTGATGAGGCGTGTTGCTAACAACAAGAAACTAAACATCTCTTTAATCAATCAGCTCGAAGGATTGGAGGCTCATTTACAGAATACTCAGAGGAGACATTATTCATGGGGATATTGCTGCAGAACTTCCAGAATAAACAATTTTGAACTCAAGTGTTTTAAATATTTGTCCAACTGTACATTAAAATTCTATGGTGGTGAAGATGTGCCAATCTTTCATGTCAGGAGCATGGAAAAATATTGCATTTTGCTAGATTAAATTATGTACCAGGTTATCTGCAATTAACAGATCATTGCTTCAAGGGATTACGTTGATGAGTCAGCAAATACTACAAAGTAAATTGCATAGGTAATGAAAAAGATCAGGCTCAACAAACTAATTGGCTGCCAATCTTTTCATGCATTATGTTCTTGAATGAGAAGTCAGAGGATTACTCCACAAACAGATTACAAAGCCATCGCTGTACAAAATTCAAGAGAATTGTTGACCATGGGCTACAGCCACAGGACTTGAGGTAGAATTAAAACTGCAGGAAGATAGCTAATTCTAGACAGTTTTAAAACAATTTTTAGAAGTTAAGTTTGAAGAATTTTATGGTCACAAAAATAACAGTGAACTTAATTTCTTAAACTTGCCTTTTGAAGAAATGCCCATTGGCTTCAAATTGTTCCCGTAACATAAACTTTCCTCGATATTCAATAATAAAAGTATCAGGAAGCAAATCTTTGGCAGCTTTCAATATTCTTTTATTTTTCTGCATTTGACTCTGAAAGAAAAGTTTTGCATCTTAATGTTGGACATGTTGCCAATTATAATAACAGAAACAGGCAATTGTCTATACTGGTGTATAAGAAAACCCCCTACCAGCTTGATTACCTGTTCCCTGCTATTTTCTTCAACCATTCCAGTGTAATGAGTTTATTTTCACATCACTGCATAAAGCAGGGTAAAGTATGTAAAATTGCTGGTTAGCTTTTCATGGCAACTTTAAAGGCTTTGTTTAACACAACACACAGAAAAATCAATGGCAAAATAATTCACAAAGGGGACATAATTCAAGAAGTAATCAAACACCACAAACAATACCAAAAGATAAATGCCACTGCAGTGTAGAAAAAGTGCAACATTTTCTTTAAACTTTGTAAAACGTCCTTCATATTAAGGCTATACTTCATTTTTAGAATGTGTTGCACTGATTGTCATGTTAAGAAAAGAATTAAAATTTGGCAAATCTATAATGATAGGTACTTTCACAACTTCAGCCCATCAGCAACAACTCCCACTCCAAAGACATTCCCATCTGCACCACACTCTCAAACCTTAGGCCTTCACCCTAGTTTGAGTGCCCCATACCTCTATTCTCACTGCTCGCTAAATAAAAACCCAAACTGTTAAGCCAGTTTGCTCAGCATTAGGGACCGCTTCTAGCCCCAGCAGTGCTCCTGGTGGTGGTGGTGTTGAGAGTATTGAATTGCTGACCAATCTAATTGGCTAGCAGCTCTCTAAAGTGGGACCATCCTCCTGAGAAAGGAGAAATCTAGCCTTAAATCAATTAAAGCTGCTCCCAGTAATTAAATTGCTGCAGGGCATAGAATTATAGAATCATACAATACAGGAGAGGATCTTCGGCTCATCAAATCTGTGTCACCAAAAATCTACTACTACCTAGTCCCATAGCCTTGAATGTTATGACACTTCAAGTGCTCGTCCAAGTACTTTTAAAGGTTGTGTGGTTTCCTGCCTTAACTACACCCCCAGGCAATGCATTCCATAACTCCAACACCCTCCGGGTGAAGAAGTTTTTCCTTAAATCCCACTAAACATCCTGTCTTTCACTTTAAAATGGTACCCCCTTGTTACTGAACTTTCAACTAAGGACAAAAGCTGCTTTCAATTCCACTGGCAGCCACTGAGATTGTGAAAAGGTGTTCCACAACTTTCCTGACTTTTTAGCTCTATGGATGGCAGAACTGCAGTATATGTGATGCATAAAGACTTAAGCAAATTTTCTGATAAAGTACTATTTGGGAGATTATTAGGGATGATTGAGAAAAATGGAATTATGAAGCTAGCAGACTAGATTAAAAATTAGCTAGACAAAATCAGCGTCAAAGTCAAGAGCAATCTTTCAAAGCATTTGAAAGCAATGACTGTCCAACAGTTCAATTCTGGAGACTTATATTTGCTATGTACATCAAATGATTTTAACATGGGATCAGGGCAGCACCCACTTCCCCAGTTCCACATTCAGCCATGTATATTTTCAAAACTTAATTTGTCAGTTTGAGGACTGCATATTAAGGCACAAGTAAATACATTTTTCCTGAGTCCAGTCTGCAGCAATTTTGCAGTGGAGACTTCAAACAGGTGTCAAAGTCTCTTGCTGGTAAGGGAGTTGCATTCCAGTTATTTGGCCTTTATCAAGATGACAAAAATGGAAAATTCCTGGCTTGAAACCAGCATGTACACCCTGCTCAAAATAACTGATGCCACTTAGCACTCAGAAAACAAACTTTGCAGAATCAGATTTTGAGGCCATATTTAACTGATTTACATTGGTGGCAAGCGAGGGAGGCGATGGACTAGTGGTATTATCGCTGGACTATTAATCCAGAGACCCAGATAATGTTCTGGAGACAGGAAATAAAACCCCATCTGGTTCACTAATGTCCTTTAGTGAAGGAAACTGCCATCCTTACCTGGTCTGGTCTACTTGTGACTCCAGACCCACAGCCATGTGGTTGACACTGAACTGCCCTCTGGACAATTAGGGATGGGCAATAAATGCTGCCAGCCAGCGACGCCCCTCATCCCATGAATGATTAAAGAAAAAACAAAGAGTACTTATGGGTAAGCACCACAGAAGGATTTTGATAGAATTGCAGCATAGATATAGCAATTAAGTAACATAATTGCCCAGTTATGGAAATGAATTTGCAATGTGTATTGTGCTGGCAGGTTTGGAGATTAGAGATTCAAGAGTGGGAAAGGGTGTGAATGGTGGGATAGGAAGGCTACCTGGGAGTAGTGTGTCACAATATTCAGGGAGGGCAAACTGAAGGAAAAGAGAGAAGAATTGAAGAAAGGAAGAGAAACGAAAACACAGAATGACTGGGAAGTAAAAGAAAGGGAAAACAAATGCTCCATATAATGAAAATAAGATAAATTCAGAATGACACATTCTTTTAACAAGATTACCTACTGTTGTAGTATGAACATTATTCCTTACCTCTATTGGAGGCTTAAAGACTGCAAGGTTGGCGTTTTGGTCTGATCTACTGACCACTTCCATTTTTTCATGTCCATCAGTTATCTCTACTGCTAGTCGATGTGCCTCAAGAATATTTTGGATATCTTCACTATATTGATTCCCATCTGCTTCCTCATAGCGATCCATCCAGGTTTTGATTTTGTTTTCCCACACAAAACTGACATTATCAACAACATCGGCTTCTGATACTGAACATTGCTGAACAAGAAAAGCAACAACACAAGTAAACGCATATAAATCCCTTCAGTTGCTGCTTCTCTTCCTCCTCTTCCAATCCCACATGAACAACATACATTTAGGATAATCAACACAATAACACATTCTATCTACACCAATCCACAACATGCACTTCATTCAAAATTTGGATGAATTTGCCATTTTAATAATGTTTTCTCAAGTACATTTAAGGAGTAGTAATGCTACAACTGGAACTAAAGTTAACCAAAGTTAACCAATTAGTAACTAATTTAGGACAAAGATTAAATGAAATAATTAAGAATTACAATAAATGTGTAAATGATGGTAGTTCACTTTCAAAAATTCATTACAAGTATTTCTAACACTTATCTGTTTAATGACTTCTTTTAATGAAAGGACTTGTAAGTAGCAAAGTATGATCCCTTCCCAAATATATTACTTGAAATTAATTTCAATGACGTTCTTTTAGGGTTATTACTTTTTGCCAAAGCCAAAAATCAGACAGGAGCAGAAATAATGGGTTAGCACTTGATATTTACTTTGTTGGTGAAAATTAATCAACAAACTTAGTCAAGTATTGCCTCCACATCGTAAAAGCACATAAAATAGAAAAACAGGTCTTTCAAGGAATTGATCACTGTTTTTTGTTGAAGAATACACCCAAACATGTGATTTCCTGTTCCAAACTGGACGAGACAGCCCTAATTCAATTGCCTACCCATAGCACTCACCAACCCACAGAACCAGAATTAGAAATGATCATTGAATAATATCACACTTCAACAGTTAATTGTGCATCTTAATTGTGCATACATGGAGGTGTACATTCTTTTTACAATGTTGAACATACGAGATCACTGTAATAGCATAAGTTCTTCTTACCTTTACTCTTGAAGATTTTCTAGATCCTTCTCGGAAAGGCTGAAACATATAAAAATTTACCTATTTACTTAATAGAAGTCATGTATTTGGGCATGCAAGGATGTCTCTGCTCTTGGTTTTATGATTCATCTTTGCTCAGTGCTATGTCCAACCAAGTTAAGTTTTACATATCACAATTTTGTAAAGCCATAACATGAATGCCATTTGTGCATGGTTTTCCATGAATGCTTCGATCTGCTTAATTCTCTGTTATTTTGGCAGAATTGTCATTGGTGGCCAGATTTGGAAACACAAGTAGACCATGTAGAAGACCGTCAATTCACTATTTCTCCTACAGCAATGCTTTTTAGACCTCAATTTGAAAGCTAAACCAAAATTCCACAGCATGAGTTAAATAGGCAAAATTCTTAGCAATCTCCAAAATCATGAAAGCAAGCAACTCTGTAAAATCCAAACTTTCTTCATTTGTCTTTTTCTTCATCCACCGCTTCTATATTCTATTTTCATCTTCCTCACTTCCAGTTACACATCTTCTGTTTTTAAACATAAAATTTTTATTTTCCATTTGCCCTTCCCTCTTTCTTGGCCTTCACCCCTTTACAATACCTACAGTGAAAAGTATACTTACTAACTAGACAGAAATAACAACTTACTTGTTCAATTACATTTCCTGCTTCTACTCACATATTGCTTGAATAATCGGTGCAGTCTTAATATTATACAGCCAAACCACTAATTAAGTAAACAAAATAAAACACACTCTTTAAAAGATGCTATTATCATCAAATGGATGAAATTGATTTCCTCAAATCTCAAGAACAGAAAGCACACTGATAAAAGCAATACTGCAGGATTCAACAAAAATCATAGAACATACATGATAATTTCAAATGTCCCTGTTATTTTCTCCTAGGTAACACACAGCAGCATCCAGCAGATTAAACTTTTGATTGGTTTTTCATGAAATGTAAGCCTGGATTGAGTTCAACGCTGCAACCTTGCTAACCAGAAGGATGACTTGTGCCAACTGGCCCCAATCACTTGCACAAAGAAAGAACAGCTTTCCCCAGTTCTGTATGACAGAAATTCAAATATTCACAACTAAAGTCTTCATGTAAGCCCTTGCTGGAGACAAGGGAAGAGAAAAAAAATTAAACAACTATACTATCCCGTTAAAAAATTTATGATCTAGATAGTCAGATGTGCAACATTCTACAACTCTGTTAAAACATAACTGCAGTTATAACACATGGAATCACCAATGAAGCACCACCACTTAACTGCAAAATCAGTGACACCAACGATGTGTCAAGCCAAAGTAAAACGAAACCGAGGCTGGGAAGACTGAAACATCAAGAATCAGGAAGATCATAGTTATGTTAGGTAATTTTACCATAATTTATTAAGCTTCCAGATACAAACTGAATACAAACAGGTTTGAAAAACTGATTAAAAGACAAAACTTGACATTCAGAGGACCTATGTATTGAACAGAATAACACAAAAAAAACTGTAGTGATTGCCACAGATTTTGGAAGCAATTAGAGGGTTACACACCAAACTGATGATCAAAGGAGTGCTAAATGGAGGCCGCCAGCACAGGAAAGCAGGTCAATCACCAAAGTTGTTCGGATTTACTTTCTAGCTACAGGATTCATTTACAATAACAACTTGTTGTGTAAAATCAAAATTCTCCTTGTTCATTCTTCTGATCCTTTTGCAAATTCGTCTTAAATCCGGATACTGACCTTGCATCACTGGGAGCAATTTCTCTTCCATTTCTTTGAAAATTTATTTGGTACATCTGTATTTGGGAGCATTCCCTGCTTAAAGAAGAACAATCCCAGCTTCTGTATTCTCTCCACATAACTGAAGTCCTCCATTACTGGTCTTTATTCTATTAAATGCCCTCTGGTCTCTTGAGCAGAGTCTTGATATCCTTCTTAAAAGTCTGATGCCAGAATTAGATACAATATTCTGGCATGAGGTCTAACCAGTGATTTATCGGTATAATTTGTTTTTTTTTAAACTCTGTTGTTCTATTCCTAAAACCAAAGATTTTGTGAACCTTTTAAAGCAGCCTTAAGATACCCGAGTTGTCTTCAGATGTGGACACTATTTTATTTCTGTTTCAAACATGCTATGCCTTATATTACAACACAATAGTTGCAGACAGAATGCACATATTATTACTTTTGTATAAAGACCCTTCTGATGTGATTATCATTTTAATTTATAAACTGTGTTTAAATGTTCATGGTTTATAAATAGCAGTAAAATTAAATATCAAACTTGAATTTGGAAAACATTTTTGTTCAAAATCAGCATGGCTTTACAATTGAGCACAACAAACATGACTTCCCTATTACTGCTTTATTATTCAAAGCCGTACAGCCACATTCACTAATCCCTGAAGAACCTTTCATGGTTGGTTCAAGGCAAACTGATGGAAACTGAGAAAGTCTGTAACACAATAAAGCTTTCAGCTGCAAAGTGGGAGACAAGCAAAAGAACTGCATAAAATATTGATAAGGAAGCTTGCATAGAAATATCCTCTGTAAGCAAAACATAACTATTGCAGTTTTGCTCAACACACTGAGTTTTACTTCCTCGAGTACTGCGTTTAAGTTCAATGCAAAATAAGCATTTTTTAAAAAAGTAGAAATTCCAGCCTCAGCACCATGGAAACACCAACGTGGTAAAAAGAGGAGTTAATGTGGGTCTCTGGACTACTAAACAAGTAGGACATTATCACTATGTTACCATCTCCCATCAAATTCTGCTTCTGCTCCATTTCCAAATTGGTGTGCAAGCGAGAGGAAGGGCAAAAAAAAAAAGGAGGAGGGAAATATATTGCGATATAATACCTGAAAAACATCAGGTTTGGACTGCACTGGTGTGTCAGGCAATTATAATCTCCAACAACAGAGAACCACATCCCCTAAACTGGGGCTTTTAAGCCGAGAATCAATTATGGGGTTAGAATGATCCTCGGATGCTAAACGTACAAAGTTCAACTGTTATAATCTCCTCTTGAGGGCACCTAGGTAAGGCAACAAATAACGACCCTGCCAGTGATACTCATACCCCATCAAAAATACACGAAAAAGTCTCATTTCCCTTGCTCTGTTTGTTTCTGCTTTCTCCAATCAGTGGCTAAAAGTACACTTACTTGTATGTGCACTTTATTAATAAGAAATGGGTCATTAAAATGATAGCACACACTAAGAGCTCACCACTTACTTCTTCAATTCCCCTAACAGCATCATCAATAACCTTGGGTGTTGCTTATTCACCATCTACCAAGTAACAAAGAAGCTTTAGGGCCCTCTTGTGGCACAGTGGAAGTGTTCCTACCCCTGGACTGGGAGGCCTGGGTTCATGTAATACCTGCTCCAGGGGTGTAATAATACCTCTGACCAGGCTGATTAGAAAAATAGGAACAAAGAGCCTGAAAGAGCTCATGTAGTGCATTGGTCATGTCCTGCTTGTCAGCCAGGAAGCCAGAGTCCAAGTCCCATCCACTCCAGAGCTGTGTAATAACATTTCTGAACTGGTAGATTAGAAAATATCTAGAACAAAGAGCCTGCCTACAGCCATTCTAGTCTGAAAATGCCCAAACTTGTCTCATCTCAGACGCTAAGTAGATTCATCCTGGTCAGTACTCGAATGGGAAACCACCTGGGAAAACAGGTGCAGTAAAATGGCTTTCGTGGTGTTGGTAATATTCTTATCTCAGAGCTGAGAAGGCTCAGGTTTGAGTCCCACCTTCTACAGATGTGTGCCATAACATCCATGGACAATTTGATTAAAAATAAATACCTGGAACAAAGAGCCTGGGACTATTGTGGCACAGTGGTAATGTCCCTACTCCAGGTTCATGTCCTACCTGCTCCAGATATGCATAGTGACATGTCTGATCAGGTTGATCAGATATATCTGGAACAAAATGCCTCTGAAGATCTCCACATAATTTCAAAGTATTATGAAATTATTCTATATATATCAGAATTCTCCAAAATTACAGTGGTCTATACTTCCTTTCAGGTAAATGCCTCATCACCTACCTTGAAATAAAAAGGATATGTGACAACTAATTTCATTATAGTTAACTAAATATTGGGATTGGAAAACATTCCATCTACATTCTGTAATTTCCATGAATTATCTCGATGTAATTGCAGTGCAAACAATACGTGCGCAGAATATGCAGAAATAGCACTCTTACTTATGGTTTCCTTGCACAAGTTCAGCTATACAAAATATCCTTCACTGCAGACTTTCAGCTGCATTACAACGTCTCAAAAGTTGGTTTTCCTTACAAAACAGACAGCGGGAGCTCAGATGCACAGAAAATAAGTAGAAGTAAAAGAAATACAGTATTTGAAATCATAGAATCCCTACAGTGCAGAAGCAGGCCATTCAGCTCATTCAGTCCACACCAATCCTCTTAAGAACAGCCCACCAGACCCACACCTGTACATTATCCCTATAATTCTGCATTTCCCATAGTTAATCCACCTAGCCTACGCAGGCCTGGACACTATGGGCAATTTAGCGTGGCCAACGCACCTAACCGGCACACCTTTGGACTGTGGGAGGAAACCAGAGTATCCAGAGGAAACCCACACAGACACCGGGAGAATTTGCAAATGCAGAGAGTTGCCAAAGGGTGGAATTGAACCCGGGTCCCTGGCGCTTGAGGCAACAGTGTTAACCAATGAGCCACCATGCTGGCCCCAACAATTCTAATTTAAATTTAAAGGAGAGACAAAGAAAATAAAAAAAAGAGTGAAAATTAGAAACTAAATGGATAGGGGAAAATTAAGGACATAAAAATCTAAATAGGTCATTCAGCTCCTTAAGCCTGTGCTGCCATTCAGTTAGATCATGATTGATCTATCGTTCCACTCCATTTATCCAAATTTAACCTGAATCTCTTGACACTTTTTACCTAACAAAAATGTTCATCACAGCCTTGAATATTTTTAGTAACTCAACATTCACAACCTTCTGGGGGAGAAAATTTTATATGTTCACTACGCTTTCTATGTAAAAATGTTTCCTGCTTTCGTTCCTGAATGACCCGGCACTGATTTCAAGATAGAATCTAGCCAATGGGGAACTATGTTCAGACAATGTCTTGTGTATCTTCGCCGTTTAATTCTACTCTCATTTGAAACATCTTGATTAGGTCTGACATCAACTTTCTAAACTCAAGGGAATAGAAGCCAAGTTTTTAAATTTTGGTATCAATTAACTGGTTTAGTTTTACCCTTGTAATACGTGAGCAATTTTAATAAATATTTCTACATTATTGTAGCAGCTGAATCAAGAAGGCTGAACTTCTTGGTATTTGTTGACACTTTGTTAATAGTGAACTAAACAATTCAGAAAATGCAAGATCTTCACGGCATGCTATAATAATTTCTGTATATTTTACTGTCAATGCAATGTATTTAACGATCCATGATTTCCAGTATAAAATGAACTAGCTGTCAAAATAATGCAGGCCTCTCCAGTTGAGGAAAACAAATCTACTTGCCTTTCTAGATTTTGTTGCAAACTGTTCCTTTTCTCCACTTTTCTTTCGCTTTTTCTCATTTACCTTTGTTACCCTAGTGGCAGTCAATGTGATCGTCGTAGGGGTCTGCTGAAAGGCAGTATATAGCTCCACAGGTACCTCATCTCCACTTTCTGTTGCACTGGTGTCTCCATCTATTTAAGCAAAAATGAAGATCTTATAAAGCACTGTAATCATTATCTTTTAGAAACAAATTACACCTAATAATTTGCATAAGGAACCGAGACAGAACTTTCAATAAAAGAATTATAGAATAAAAACTCAATTACCTGCACATTAATTATTTGCCTTATCCAGTAGCATAAATTTACTCAGCTGAAGAGAGGCCAGCAGAAATCAAGGATGTCAACAGATTTTGTTTTGTTTGAGTAATTACTGCTGCAGCTACTGATTTGTCAGCTTAGTTCCTCCATGCAAGAATTTATTTATACAAGCCGTGTGTTAACTTTAAAAGACAAAAATAGAAATTGCTGGAAAAGCTCAGCAGGTCTGGCAGCATCTGAAGACAGAAATCAGAGTTGGCATTTCAGGTCGAATCACCCTTCGTCAGAACTGAATTCTCTCCACAGATGCTGCCAGACCTGCTGAGCTTTTCCAGCAATTTCTATTTTTGCATCTGATTTACAGCATCTGCAGTTCTTTCAGTTTTTGTTAATTTTAAAATCAGTCATTTAATTGCTGTATTATATGCCAAATGAAGTTCTGAGATTGCCACTGGTCTGTAGCTCTGTCTGATGAAATCACAGGTAAAGAAATGATTGGGAGCGAGCAAATCAATTGCTTAGTTAGAAGTTGCAATGCTGACTCTATATCAAGAACATATCACTGAAGACGACTAAAGCAAAGTATCAACAAACGTTTAGTAATTTGGTGTTCTCAATTATCCACCAATTGCCATTATTTGCAGCGGGCTGCAAGAAGAAGTTGCAAGCTGTCTCTATTTTGCTAGATAATCGAGGTTATACTTTCTGAAAATCAAAACTGCAAATCCGACACAGTCGCACAAGAATGTGAGCACATTCTTAATCTGACAGTGATAAATGTTTAACTGAAGAATAAATAAGACAATTATTTCACTCCTCATAATGTAGAAGCTTATTTCATGTATAAAATCAGATTAAAATATAAAGTTCCACACAAAAAAACTAATTGATAGAAACACAAGATAAACGTACCTCCTAAAACAACCCTTGTTAAAGTTTTAATAGCTTTTTGTCAAGGGTTCAGCAACTAAAACAATTAATACCATTACATGTGACATTTTAAATAGTAGGGCTGAAGTCACAAAATGTGCACGCACCCGTGTCAGATGATCGCTTTTGAAAGTTGTGATCTTGTATTTTATATCTTCACAATTTAGAATGGGATACATCAAAGAATGGAGGACTGGCTGGGATATTCATGAAGTTAGTAAGAATGTAAATGGTACCATAAAGCAGCATGGAAAATCAACATGTAGGTACGAAGCGTTTTTGAACAGTTGAGCTAATAGGAATTAGTGCAATATCAAAACCACTTTGTTAGAAACATAAAAGCTACGATCAGATGTGGGTGCTGTGGTTTAGGTTACAATTGGAACTAATTCTCCAACTGGTGGTTTGTTTCTGAACTGTGTGCAAGTGGTTCTCATGGCTTCAACATTAAAATTGAATTACAACGTATCTCTTCATCATATATTCACACATACCTGACATATTTTCCCTTTTCTTTGTTTGTAGTAACACAGCTCTGTCTCTATCCAAGCACCTGAAGAGACAGCATTACAGTTGTCTGAGATTTGTAAAAATGTTGTTCATAATCATTTTAAAAAGTCATTCTTTCAAATATATTGTGCTCACCGAGGCTGACAACGATCACAAAGGTAAGTTTCCGGAATATGCTGTCTATCGATACCCATACAATCTATATGCTGCCAAACACTAAGATAAAAATCAAAGGAACATATTAAGTTGAAAACTTCACTGTCGAATCTGTAGGCATTATTGTATAATTATATAAGAATTTTATCCAAATGAATACCTATGTTTTTGATTATTTCATCTGTTGCCATGCAAATCAATTGGTTACTACCTTTTGCTTAACTTTAAAAAAAAGCAATGATAACTTTGCATACTGTTTATATTTGAAATAAAAGGCAATACAACAAATACAATCTTTGTCCTCCTAATGAAAGATCTAAATCATTTGCTGTATTAATTCAGGGTTTAAGATAGAAACCAAAGTCTTTAACAACCTATTTTCCATACTTTGTAACGGCATCATTCTCATTATCATTCCTAGGGACTACGCATGCCTAATTCATTGTCAGCCCACTAAAGTTGGGTGAATTTGCATGGATTTTCATCACAATAATAATTGAAAAAAACAAAAGCAAACTCAATCTAATCATCTAATAAAGTATTTATCATTTGTTTTAAATCTTAAAATGTTACAATGTATGTGTTATAAAGGTCAAGGGTCTGTGAAAACTAAAGTAATTTAAGTTTCAAACTAGCATATCTCCAAATACAGCAGACATCCCCTTGGGAGATATCCTAAAGTACTAGATTAGCATATTTTTAAAAATATCAGTAAGGAGCAGATGAGGCACTTTATGTTTTCAACATTTTTCTTTCTCTTCAATAATACAGATCCATGGGTGCCCTTCTAAACTTTACCTGTGTTACTGTTATTCCTATGGGAACAAACGTGTCCAGGTTAGGTAGATTGGCCATACCACACTGCCCACAGTGTCCAGGGAAATGCAGGGTTACAGGAATAGGGAAGGGTGGTAGGTCTGGGTAGGATGCTCTTTGGAGGGTCGGTGTAGACTCAAAGGGCCAAATGGCTTGCTTCCACACTGTAGGGATTCTATGATTCTATAAACAAGTGCACCATCAACAGATTCTTAACCACTGGCAGCAAGGTTAAGGTGCAACTGTCCTTACTCCAGTTCTTTTGACAGAGGAAGTCTGTTGTCAAACCCTAACATGGGCTGCTGAGACCAGAATGGAGCAGCCTCACCAATGCCACATTTGAGGTCTACTAATATACCGTAAAGCTGGTCCAATTCTGGTCTGTATGACGAAAGTGGATAAACCTGACTTTGAAAGATCCCTGTACCAAACTTTGAAAAAACAAAACTATACTGCAATGTCAATGAACACAAACGTAAAAGATTTGGTTAAAAAGTTGCATTCCTACCTGCATTTATCACAACAGATCATGTATCCATCATCATGGGTAAATCCACAGATGCACCTAGTAACATCTGTGCCATAGCTTCCATCCTCAGAAGTGCTGATTGTCGTGGCACTGGAAGTCTCATCAAAATTAGCAGTGGTGAATATGCTCACCTCATTTTTGCCTATTACTACAGTTGGAGGAGGGGAAGCTGGGGGTGTTGGTGGAGGACGAGCACCATAATTGTGGTCCTGAAATTGTTGAAGGGAACAGTGAAATTTCAATGCACACAATGACCAAGTAATTAGGAATGACAACAGAATATTATGCATAATGAAAAGAACTGAATACAAAAATAGGTGGTTATGCTATAGATGTACAGGGCATTGGTGAGACCACATCTGAAGAACTATGCACAGTACTGGTTACCTTAGTTAAAAGAGGATGTAAATGCATTGGGAGCCTTTTACAGTAGGTTTACTATCTAACACTGGAATGAGCAGTTGTCTAACGAGGAAAGGTTTAACATGCTAGGCTTGCATCTGCCATGTTTAAAAGAGTGAGAGGTGACTTGACTGAAGCATGTGAGATCTTAAGGGGTCTTGACAAGGTGGATTTGAAAAACATGTTTCCTTTTGTGGGAGACTATTGAAATAGTGGTCACTGTTTAAAAATAAAGGGTTTCCCATTTCAAAGGTAAGGAGAAATTATTTCTAATGGAGGGTTGAGTCTTTGCCAGAAGGTTCTATTCATCAAAAGACAGTTGAAGCAGAGTCTAAAATATTTGCCCTTCATGTCTTTTTTAAAATTTCTCCCCTCTCACGTTAAAAATGTGCCCCCTTGTCTTGACATCCCCCATCCTAGGGAAAAGACAAACGACCAGTAACTCTATCTAGACCCCTCATTATTTTATAAACTTCCGTAAGGTCGCCTCTCAACCTCCCACGCTCCAGTCAAAAAGTCTCAGCCTATCGAGCCTTTCTTTATAACTCAAACCTTCCATACCCAGCAACATCCTGGTAAATCTCTTCTGAACCATTTCCAGCTTAATACTATTGTTCCAAAACTGGGCAAGCAGAACAGGACACAGTATTCCACAAGAGGTCTCACCAATATCCTGTACAATCTCAACATGACTTCCCAACTCCTATACTCAAAGGTAAGCAATAAAGGTTAGTGTGCCAAATGCCTTTTTAATCATCCTGTCTTTATGTGATGCAGATTTCAAAGAGTTATGTACCTCAACCCCTGGGTCCCTCTGTTCTATAGATTTCTGAAAAACAGTCATGCTACTGACAATCAAAAGTGTCCTTTCTACCCAGCTGAAATGGTATACAATTAAATACAATCATCAGTGGTTTTAGTTACCTTGAAACGATCTAATTGCACCAAAATATATCTTAATACTTGGCTGTTACTTTTAACTAACTGTGCAATTCAACTCCAATTCAGCTTTGAAAAATATACATTGTATACAGTCTACAATGAAACTCATTTCCTATGCTAGTAAAAAAAATCTGCATACACTATGATTAGCATGAATAAGATCAGTTAAGATAGATGTAAATGTAAAGATAAATTAATTTTTTGATGTTAAAGGGCTAAATTGAGTTCATGAAGAAAAATGCATGATGTGAAAAAAGTAGGGGGGGTGAAGAATATGGAAGAAAATCATTAAAATTAAAGCAGATCATAATCTAATCCTTATCTGATGTCCATGAATGTAAATCTACAGCAGTGTCACGAGATTGCAATAGTTGTTTTTTGTTTTCTTTATACAAAGGGACAGAGGCCAACTACAGAACCCTTCTGTAACCATGCTCAGATCCTCAAATTTCATAAGTAAGAATGCGCACCTTAGTTACCCTGTTTTAAGCAGATAAACCAACAGGAAAGCCACAGAATGGCTTTCTGCTGAACTTCATTTCTTTTAGAAATTAGTTTACAGCAGTGAGAATAGCCAAGCCAGGAAGACTACTTAAAGAACTAGGCTCTGCAGCATTTTTAATCAGGGGAATTCTAGAACATATGAACAGCTTCAATGAAGTGCTTGTTGTCATGCAGCAACTCATTTGAATCAAGTACATTTACTTTCTGGTGTCCAAAGATGTGCACAACCAAATGTTGCACTATCCCTCTCTTTCCCCAACAATTGGATGCTACACATAAGAAATAATACTAGCCATTAAAGTGACAAACTATTCCTTCCAAAAGATTTTGTGCATCTAAGAAAACGTACACAAAACAAAACAGCTTTGACCGTTCAGGCAGAAAAATAATTTTAAACAAACAGACAGAAACTTTCTAACAGATGTTAATCCAGAATGCATTAGTTCAGTAAAGCAATGCTAAGTATTATTAACAAACATAGCAAAGCACTAGAACTGTATACATGACAAAATGACATGGTGCTAACTTGCATTTTGCTAGATAGGCAATGAAGCCAGTTTCTGCAATACTAGTATAACTTGCACTGTGATGGTTTAGACTAGAAAAAGCATTCATTCAGATTTAACATTAAACAAAGTAGCCAACTTATTCATTTCAAAACTTACTGCATAAGGCAAACCAATGTAACTGTGTGAATGATGAGAACTGCTGGTATATAACTGGTGTGGATAACTGTTTGACTTCTCTACCACCACAGGGCTTGCTTCTACAGATTCTGGTCTAGAAGAAAAAAATTCATTGAATTATTCATTATGATCTAGATCTTTGCCAAATATATAACTTTTTCAACTGTAAATAATTAATACAGCTCAGTTTTTAAAAGGCACAGACATAAGCAAAGATTGTATTAGAATCAGATTTTTCTTGTCTGTTTACTGTGTTCTGGAACTAATTTTCTCTATTATTCCATGATGGATGACAATTCTGAACATGCATGCTGTGCCACTGGGTCACCCTTACTAAAGGAAAAGTAGAAGCATGGCAGAAGAAAACTAAGAATTTAGCACAGAAATGGTTAATTTCTTTTAACGTAACATATAGAAGTACAGACAGTGAACGTGTGCATGAGAATCGTGAACAAGTACGTGCAACAACTTCCTATGAAACCAAACCACGTTTAAGCAAAACAAAAATCAAACAACTACATGGTTCTTAATGAAAAAGTTAGTAAAATGCAGCCTACTTATGACAGTTTAACAAATTCAAGCATAACAAAGCAAGACCAATGAAGAAAAACCTGAATTAACATCACAGATGATCAATAACACAACTGATTTTAGTTTACCTCTAAGAAGTTACATAACACATATTTCATTTAATTCCAATAAATCTGCTGATAAATGTTGTAAGCTCTGGGATTGGTTGTTGGAAAAAATAAATGAATACAAAGCAAATGGGCACTTTCTTCATTCTAGGTCAGTTACTCCAAAAGCTTCAACGCAATCAAGTTTAAATTCACATAATGGGATGCAAGTGATGTTGCCACAAAGTATTGCCCATTGGATGCATGCTAGCATTTCTCATTAATGTATTTTTATATGCTGAAAGACATTTTTAATCATGACAAAACTGACATTTTCTACAAGCTGAGAGCACACAGGAAGGTAGAGTTTAGCTGGAACCAATACAACCATGATCTTATCAAATGGCTGAGCAGGCTTGAAAGATCGAATGGCCTACTCATGTTCCCAAGTATATATTAATTTTCATCAAAAAATTGTTCTGGATGAAAAAGCTAAGTAGAAAATTATCATAATGGTTTGCAATGGCAAGCATGTTTAGGTTAAAAAAAAAATTGCTGCCAGTGGCCAGAAAGTTAAGAAACCTTATTAGTTTGCGGTGCCATTATTCTGCCTTTTAGGCAAACAAACAATATTGTGTGGATTATCATAGTCTTTCCAAGGAACTGCTCTACCACTTTCGTTCAAGAATGGCAAAAGAATTCACCTCAACATTAACCGACAGTTGTTAACAGTGTCTAAAGCCATAATTTATTGCTAAATGCTGATAGCACTTCAAGCAGGAGAAGCAGCATTACAGGCTACTTGAACTGAGAACACACACAGGCAATGGCAGCTGACTGTTAGGTGAGAACCCTAAGCCTGCACGGGCTCGAATAAGATTTGAATTCACTTTGAACGTACATAAGAAAGTTGTGAAATCCTGATTTCAGACAAACATGAAAACTGATGATATAGTGGGGAAGTATGCTACTTTCCAAAAAGGCCCATCTGCATGCAAACACCAGCAAGAGCATGAAATCCAACTTTGTGGCTAACAGCAAAGTTTTATATCTGATGCAAACTTTTCATGCAAAATAATTACAGTACTAAACAAACCCTGGTAACCTGATGGATATTTTCCCCAACAGCAAATATTCTAAGGATGACTGTACTATTAATAGATACAATCCAGAAAGGTTTACATTGTACAGTTCTCAGAAGGCTCAGGTTTTGATTATATGCATTGAGAATTGTTGAAATATTTCATTGCACTATATATCTTCTTGCAGTGTTCTATCACGGCCTAAATGAATGTCAGAGTAGGTCCAAGGGGCTTAATATTCCATTGTGTGTTGTTCCATTAAAATCACTTCACAAACTGCTAGGTAATTAAATTTTTTTTTTGAAAGTTGTTTAAAGCTAGAAAATTTTAAGATCATACATAAAATATTACCAAATCAACCTACTGGAGTTTTCTCCATTTACTAAATTGTATGAAATTAAAAAAAATGAAATTAAAAATCACTGTTTTAGGGAATTTCATCCCTGACAATCTCTCCTACCTCCTGAATGCATTGACCTCCCACTGGAATTCTGTTCCACAGAAGCCAATGCCCTCTGCCATCTCACTTGAGTAGTAGTTTTTTTCAGGGAGTCTTGAAGAAGTGTTAGGAAACTGTTAATTCTATGCACACTTCTCACAGTGTTCATGGACTCCAGGATCAGGAAAGGGAGCTCTGGTAAATTTGTTTTCCCTAAACCAGAAATACTGAGGCAAACTGTGGTGATCCTGCTTCCATCCTAGCCAACAATCTAAGACTATGGATCAAGTCTGGGACTACAATGGTCTGTTTTACTCAATTACAGTTCAAGCAATTAGGAAAACCTTTACAAACCTGTTTCTGAAAATTAATGTTACCAAGTAAGATTATACAACTAGATTCGTCATTAAATTATTACATACAATTTTTATGACATTGAAATGTACTTATACTGCATTCTGCAATTTATACTTAATAATTTCCACAGATCTTATTGGAACATTTGTACCTGTGAATGAAAAATTTATAATGGGTAGAAAATATCACATCAGATTTCCATGCTTTAATATTTTACCAGAATCTTTGTTAAAAAGACCAAAAGTAATGAAACTGACTGAATAGTGCTCAGACATTAACTGAAAAATGTAAGGGAAATTTGGTTAAACTAATTCTCAAATTTGATGTGAATGATACAATTTAATTGTATTTCAAACAAAATACTGTGTGTACACTCACTTAAGAAACAATGTATAAGGAAATAAAACCAACCAAACAATATAATTGCTTTTACACCAGTATTGTTCCTTTAACAGTTCTCACACGTTGCACACAATTGTTAGCTGCATGGCAATTTATTCTGTAAATGAACGTCAACTATTAAATCTTTGCAATTATCACAGGTTTTTTTTAAAAGTCATAAAAACGGAGTTAGGAATACATAATAAAATCAGACTTGCCCCAAAACTGTAAATTTTTGCGTTTGAGACGACGTACAATTAACAGATCAGCAGCAGAAAAGCAATCAACCAACACGGAAGCAGTAGAAAATTACAGTAGCACGTTTTGCTTACATTCAACTGCCAAAAAGCACAATAATCTCCTGTGGTCACCAACGTGACCAGGCTCACATCCTGTTACACTGCTAAATCATTCCGCCCAAAATAAAAACTATACAAGCTTCCGCAGAATTAAGTGTTGCAATATTATACTGATTTCTTAGCAAGACTACCAATAAAAGCTTAAATGAATGAAAATAGCAACTTTCCCAAGATTAGGAGCACCAACATCAGTAGACTTATACCTTTTCTTATTGGTTATGCATTCATTGATAAAACAAGTATTCCACACTCTACTGAAAAGAGTTCAAAATTAAAATCTCAGCTCTACACAATGCATTCTATTGTTCCAAAATGCATGTATGTATAGGATTGCTTAAAAGCTAATGCTTGGCAAGTACAACAAATTCACAGGTTTACTTCCTGATGTTTGCAAGATTTAGGCCACTCTTCTCTTTTAAGAACTTAAAAAGGAGTAGACCACATTCTTCGTCCTAACAAAGGCAAAAAAGTTAGCCTTTTTTTGTTTTCAGATCAATCTCTTTTATACTATATATTTACATCATACTGGTTTAGAATCAGGAAACAGTGAAGCCCCACTACCTTAGTTGAACAACATGTAGTGATCGAAGTATAAAATGAATAACTTCCTACTGTAACAAGTCTCACTTTGTGTAACACTTGCAGGTTGAATTGCAACACACATTGATCAGTTTCCCATTTAAGGTATGTTGTTTAATATACATTTCTTTCTTGTCTGGTATGCAGTCACTGAGTTATCGAATTACAGTAGCTTCATGAGAGTTCCTCTTTTACTGGTTTACAGTTTACACAGACACTGAACAAAATCCAGCAGAAATGCTGTTCAAATGGTATGAAAGATGGTGGAAGGAAGAGAAAAATGGGAATAGAAAAAAGTGTGGTTTGTATCAACAGTAATGTGAAAGTATATATATTATAATTACAGCTGATTGCAAATTTAATCAATAATCTTGTTTAGTGCAGAAATCAAAAGTAAATGGTTCAGCCACAAATATTTCAAGTTGCAGCCATTTATCTATACGTACACACCCTATAGCAAGTTATGTCCACAATTTTTTTTTTCAAAATTTATATGGAATTTTATCATGATGATGATAATGTTGGTTATGCAACTATCCTCACCTGCCCATGTCAAAAATACTTTTCTTCTTTCTGCCTGCTTGACAGCAGAGAAAATTAACAACATTTATACTGGCCATCTGTTCTACAGGCTACTTGTACTCTATTTGCCAATATTGCAAAAAGACAGCTCTGCTGAAAATTAAAATCTCTGTCCAGAAACAGAAGGCACACGCTTGGTTACTTTATCCAAAATGACATGGCAGGGCAGTTAGAGCTGCAAGTCTTTGACGCAAACATTTATTTGCAAGTTTATGTCAGAATGTCCTCTTATGCAGAATAACTCATTAATGACTGCTCATTAATTGTCATTATTCTGTGATTAGTAGATTTGTCTTTCAAATACCTTGTTGATTGATCAAGCCTTCTAAAAAAAAAATTACTGTGTAATTTGCATGGCAATCCTGAGGTCAGAGTAAGTTTTTGCCTACCAGGAGTCAAAGATTTAACATGCTGAACTGTGAAGACTTCTGCTGGGGTGCCAATGAATAAACTTACAATTATTACTCAATTCAAAGTGCATCGTTTTGGTGCACAGCACCAATTCCTGTTTGTAATAACGAGTACAGGATGTAAGAAAGGAAATACATGCTGCAACATTGACAGCTGCAAAAAATTTGAAATTGGGACAGGTTTTGCCGTAGAACTTCAGGACTGCTTCAGTACAGTCAATGAAGGATAGCTTGAACCTTTGATGTTTAAGTTACACAGCTTCTGAATGCAAATATTAAAGATTAAAT